TGGCGCTTATGTTCAGTCGTCTGTCGTCCGTGTCCCCCCTCCCCCGTCCCTCCCAGATTGTGTTGTGTTCTGCTCTGACTGCTGAGCATTTAAGTGAGCTTATAAATGTGACCTAAAATGTTTGAAAACAAAATCCAGGATAAGTTTGTGGTGTGTATGTTGTGATGGGTTTTGTTCGTTTATTGGGGTTTGGTTGGTTTGTTGGAGGTTTGTTTGTTTCCCAGATGATGTTTCCCTTTGTGCTTTGGAACTGAAGGGATGAAAGCTCCTCCTTGCAGTCTTAAATTACTTCTCTTATTTTCAGTTCAGCCCCCTTTCCTTTCCCCCATGTGCTCTTCCCTAGACTTCTCCTGATTTTCATACTCTTCCCCTCCCAATGCCCCCTTCTTTCTCCCTTAACAGTCGTTGTCTTAGCAGTCTCTGGTGAGCAGGCTCTGTTGATGGTGACTGGTATGGTAAGGCAGTTCAGGTCCCTCTCCTGAGCTGCCTGCCCCTGTTTTTGTTGGAGATGATCACCTTGATGGCAAGCCAGCAAAACTTCCCTCCAAAAAGTCTCTGTTCCCGGACATTTGCCTTGCTCACCCTAGTGTTATCAGCCCTGTCTAGCACCTGATGCTGGACAGTGACTGGAAGCATAGGCACACTAGTTTGTCATTTCTGCAACAGACATAGCTGGAAGAGGGATGGTACAACAGTGGCAATGCTGTCTTAAACTGCTTTTGCAAGGCTGGTTGGGGTTTGTTTGCATGAACACTGAGGCACTTCTATTTCCAGGTGTGTTTCCCAGCCTACTGCTCTGTTTTGGAGGTGCTCCCTCTGCTCCTGTTGCTCTCATTTGAGCTTCCCAGAGGCTATATATACAGGGATGCAGATTTACATAACTGCTGTGGAATAAGCAGATGTTTTGGTTTCAGTATGGAGATAATCAGGTAATAGTTTCAAATACTGCTTGTTTTTTCTTGTCTATTTGTGGTTTCCTATTCAGGCTCCTGATCAGAGTCGAGAGAGTTTTTTTACCACAGGAGTAAATACCTGGAAAGATGCCAGGGAAATGGTAACTCTACATTGACTGAGGACAGTCTGGCTCCATTCTTGCTGAAAATAAGGAGATATTCTGGGTGTATCAGTAGCAAGGAAAAATGTATAAAACAAATCAAGCTCTTGCAATACTTTGTTGTTGTTGTTGAAGGAAAAAAAAATAAGACAAAATATTAGGAGCTGGACAAAATAATTTACTGCCTATTTTTTTGCTGGTCACCCATGTAGACTTTGTGGTGGAAGACGTTTTAAGGTGAAGCACAGATGATTCTCTTGTAGCTTGTTCAACAGATTAAATCAAATTTCCAGTCTTTGAATACAAGCTATTACTGGCACAATTGTAGTACAAATCTTAGGACAAATAAATGAAGGCTTTATTCTGTATACATAAGGCCTATTACTGCAATGGGCCTTGGCTGTACTGTTCTAATGATGTTTCCTTGGTCTCTGGTTACTGGTTTATAGCCTTGTGTAGGGCAGAGATGTGTCAGGGATTAAGAATTGGGGAATTCAGATGTGTGCTTGTGAGTTGTGTACTGCTGTCTGATTTACCTGACAAGAAATATGTATTTGAGACTCTACAAGAAATTGTGTACTTCTTCAGCAGCACTGGAGGGAAGAATTAGACACAAAGACAGGAAGAAAACAGTTGTGGTTTGGAAAAATCCCAAACCATTTTGATTTATAATAAACAGCTCCATTTCAGTGACTGTTTGAAATTCCCACTGAACTGATTAAGGCAAAATTTCTGCTTGGCATTGTAGGCTGACTACAGATGTTCAGCAAACATTTGTCATTCGGGTGTGGAAATTTTCAAGAAAAACGGTATCTTTTTGCATCTTATTTTGTTAGTTCTTGAGGAAATGTAATCCATAACTGAATTTTCAAATTGGAATGCTTGAGCATTACTTTGTGTCTGAGAGATTATAGCAGGGTGAAGCCATGGCTGTGAGATACCCAAGTATGGGAGCAGCTCTGAACAAATGGTCTGTCATACCTTTGCTTTAAACTTCATCTCTGCCAGCCTATCTTCCACTGGCTTTAGTGCAGATTAGGAACAAAGCTGTTTCTGTGGGAAGAACCACTGAGAAGTGAAGAGGTGCTGTGAGAGGTGTGCTGCAGCTTGTACTTCAGACAAGATTGATGTTATGTGAAGATTACAGTCTTATTTTGTAATGGGAGAGGGGAAATGTACTCTGCTTGGCTGCCTCAGCGCTTTGGTGTTTTTTTCACGGAGTCAAAACCAAAACAGAGCTATTGAAGAAGGCCTGAATGCAATTGTCTGTTTTCTGGGCTGTGCTAACCCTGTGTTTAAGCTCAGGGGCTTTCCTTTCTCCCTTTCTCTCTACTCAGAATAAGGCATCAGGTTGACAGACTTCAGGGTTAGCAAGGAATCCAAAAGACAAGAGACAATTAGTAAAAAAAAAACCACCCCAAAACCCAACAAAACCAAAAAACTCCCCAAACCAACCAACCAAACAGGAACCCTAGCACCTACTTTGTCAAGACATGAAAATTCAGGAAAAATGTGCCACAGGGCAGGCAACTTCCATACTTGCTTTATGGTTTGCTCTTTCCTCAGTAGTGCATATACCATAGGTTTTTCATTTCAGGGTTTTCTATAACAAAACAGCCTGGGATCTCTATCTATGATTTTATTGCAAGGTTAAAAAGTTGTAGTGTGAAAGGTTAGAATTGTCAGCATTGTAAACAGCTGAGGGAAAGGCAAGCTTTTCTTTGGAAAGTGTTGACTACAGTTATGTATACCACTGATGTAAGCATTATAGGACGGAAGAGGTCTCAGAACTTCAGTGCTTACTGATAGGACTTCTAGTCTGGTTGGTCTTGAGGGAGCTTGAGTCTTGAAGATGGGGCATGTGCACATCTAAAGGAGGTTGACTTTTAGTGGGGAGAAGAAAATGGGCTCCACAATACCCAGAGTTCCCTTCTGACCAGAGCCTTGCTGCAGCAGCAGCTGTGTCCATGAGCTGTGTCTGGAACTAGGCTCACTGGGGGTTCAGCTGGGACATGTCCAGGGCAAGATGTTGCAAGGATAATCTTCCCTGTTTAAAAAATGCTCAGAAACTTAACCATGTTATTTTCTCTGTAGAAGAACAGATTTTTCTCTGTTTAAAAGAAAGGTTTAGTCTTGTTTTCTACTGTGCCTATAACAACTATCAAGATGTGAGGGTTTTTATTTTGTTTGTTTTTTTTTTTCTTTGTGCAGAGATGTATTATTTGGGTGGAAAAGTGAATTCTTGTAATAGATAAATTTTTGCCATCCTGAATGTCAAAATGAAATGTTTTCCGAGCTTAACTTCATACACTAAAGCTGGATGATGGATCGTGTAATTCTACCCTAGCTTCAGGAAATAAAGATATGTTAGCTGTAATTCCATTTATTATTTGTAGATAATACTGTCTCTTAAGACTATATATTCTGGCTGTAATTCATAAGGATTCTGGTATTGGAGTTAAGCTAAACTGTTTGCTTCAGTGTGCTTTGGGAGCAAGTCCCAGTAGATCTATACTAACTGTTCCATGTCCATTCACTGTCACTGCAGGACTGAAACCTCTTAAGAGCAAGAGGATACATAGCTTCTGCGATGCTACATTAGGTATAATTCAGCTGTCTTCTCAGGCACGGTTTACAAGTGAGCTAATGCAGTATTTGCTCTATGTGTTTTCAGATCCAGGTAGTTGTCTGTGAACTCACAGTATGGCATGATTTCATAGCAGTTTCTCCCTAACTTCCAGGTGGCCCATACAGAGTTGAACTGCAAAGTGGGCATTAGTGTTTGCATATATCATCATCATCTTTAGGGAAATACTCAGCAAACTGTTTTGGTTTTTTATTTGTTAAATTTTGCTTTAAAGTCATAACGTCATCGCTTTCAACTACAAACAGTAGCTGTGCTATTAGCATGCAAATTACATAGAATAGTGTGGAACCTCCTTTTACACTGCAGCATGCACAGTGCAAGATACTAAGTGTTAGTACATGGAAAAGAAGACATTTTTGTAATAATGAATGTGTAATACAGTAGTATGAGGCATGGATGTCTGTAATTTTGCCCTTTCTCATCCTTAGTTCCCAGGATAAGCGATGACTAAACCAGCATTTTTCCTTACCATTGTTATAAAGTCCTTTTGTGATGAATCGAATATCATTCTTGCTATTTAAGTGCAACAGCTCATGCAGATGATGTGAGCATCAATCACAATCATAACCACTGTTAACAGTGGTACTTTCTTTTCTCTCCTAGAAAAGCCCCAAGTGTCATGTACTCAAAGTTCCTATGTGTGATTGAGTTGGTTTTTTTTTTTCAGTTGTACAATCAATTTTCAGGTACATTTCTATTTTCCTTGCTAAATTTCACTTCTTTTATATAACTTGCTTTCCTTGCTTTTGTTGCAGGTGGGAAGATTGGATATTCCCCTGAAAAGACTACAAGTTTGATCTCAAATCCTGCGCATCTAAGATCTTGAGAATTAGCAAGCAGCAAGGATCATTTGGTTAAGTATTTCCTGCAGACTTCTCTCACTGGTGCTTGGGAGCAGCACAGATTGTGCAAAGCAATAGCCATGTGGTAGGGTTGTAGAAAGATGGGTTCTGTATTACCTTTCAGCTGATGCAGTGCAGAGTAAATAAGTTTGTGCTTGCTTTTTTCATTAACTTCTTTTCCTCTGGCTTCAACTCTTAGTTCCTGGGGTGGAGGAAAACGGAACGTGGTGGTGGCTGCTTCCCTTCCCCTCTATGAAGAATGTTGGTTTTATGGGGACATAGGGTATGTGGGAATAGCCAAGTTTTTAACTTCTCATAGCTAATAACTTCTGAGTTAATTGTACGGCCTGGCTGATGGAGCTTATGCATCAAGGTGTAGTGCTAAGCCTTATCAGGCTAGAACTTCTCACAGTTTAGAATGCTACTCTTTTTTCCTGCCTTTTGGGATCTTCTCAGCAAGGTCAATTGCAGGAGCTCCCGGTTATGCCTCAGAGCTGTGGGATGAATCACTGCTGTCCATTCCTGGCAGAAAGAGTGCTTGAGTGCATCTTGTGGGGGACTTGCTTCCCTGAAGTGCTTATCTGGCACCTGCAGTCCTTCCATAACCTGATGCAGTCTGGCAAATGCACCAGACGGGCTGCTATCGTGTCAGCTCACCCTGCTTTGCACTTCCTCAGGGGGTGCAAGGTCTTAATGTTCACTGCTTTTGCTGTGCTGGTCCTTGTTCCACCATGCTAAGCTTATAAAGTAGAATAAAAAGTTTGTTTTAACATATTTCAGACTGAGGTTTTGGAGGCATTTGGACAGACAGAGCTTACAAGTCAGCTGTAACCTACTTTGGGACAATGCTTATGCTTAGCTGTACTGGATGATTTAGAGGCTTTATATGTCCCACAAAGCCGGAGGCACAGGTTAGCCTGGGATCTGGTAACCCAGGTTGTAGTTAGCACCTCTCCCTCTGAAAGCGGCTGTCTACAGTAAAAGAAAGTCTAGAAATGCTTGTACTGTCCATGGTGAAACACTGGAACTTCTAGTCCTAAGACGAAGTGAGGACAAATTCTTTGTGTCCTAGAAGTGGGTATTCTCCTCATAAATCATAAACGGACACATCTGACTGGACTGGGAGAGAGCTTTTCATATGGCCCAATTAATTCCATCTGCCTGCACTTGAGGTGGAGGAAGAAACATTTTTCAGGCTGTTTATACACCCTGTTCTGAAGTTTTCTGCCTGCAGATTCCTGTTCAGCTCTTTTTATAATAATAAAAGTGAGGAGGTGACAGCGAACTTCAGTTATGTCATATAAGAAATATTTGAAGGAAAGACTCCTCTGGAAGGCTACAAAAGAGAAAACCAGCCCTTAAACAGGAATATGACAGTCTGTCAAGAGACAGGTCATCAACAAAACATTGAGGAGCAGGGGAAGAAGATGGTGGGAACCCTGTGCAGCGCAGCGTAGTCTCAGAGCCCAGTCACAAAATGAAACACAAAATCTTGTAAGAGACAGTTGACAGAGCTGAAATGGGAGTCAGCTAGGACAGTAATCTTAGGTTTTAAACTGTGCCATTTGCTTCTCCTGGAGGCAGTAGTTATTTTAGTTGATTACAACTAAGAAAAACTGAAGCCTAATTAGATATTGTCTTTGATTCCAGGAAATAAGAAACTTTTCTAGTCACTGGGAAAGCAAAAGAAGAGCTTTACTGTTAACACAGGCACTTAAAGTTAGATGTACCTCTTTCTATTGTGTTCTTAAGTGTTGGTAGTAGAGGATGGGAAACAGCCATGAACTGGGTTGTCCATTACAGCCACATTTTTTCTTCCTCCTCTGTGCTTCAGGCTATTTATTCTTGCTGGGAGCTTTCTGAGTTGTAGAAAGAACTTTTTTACAAATCTGAAATGCTGTTCGTATTCCCTGGGTGAATTTGTGTTCCTCATTTGTGCCTCATTCTTGTTATTTATGTGTGTCCCTCTTTGCACTTTAGTTGCGCAGCCTTAGTTAATCTAATTATCCTTAGGAAGGACTGACGTTTCGGTCATTTTCAGAGACACTGTGATTTAGGGCCCTTCTTGTAAAGAAATTTTAGCTGGGTTCGACTGGCTCTGTGAAGTTTCATTGTTCACAGGACAACTGATTGCAGTATTTCTACGAACTGCATGAAGTCTTCACCCTGCTGGGTTTTAATTAAATGCAAAATTACCCAAAGCTCAATTTGCCTTTATAAGAAGTATTTTGTAATATGTTTCAAGTTGGGTGTCCTGGCTCCAGCTGCAGCCACAGATGCTCTGTGCAGAGATCTGCTTTCTTTTGGTGTGCATAAAACTGTCTAATATTCTGAAAAAATTACTTTGCAAAATGCAGATCCCTGGTGCAGGGTTGTGTTAATGACAAGTATCTATCAAGGCAGTTTAATGATGCTCAATGTTGCATTGCAGTTTCTGTTAATCTGTGGGGAAAATCACTGCTGTTTTGTTTTTCTTCGGTAGTGGCGTATTGAAGCTGATAATTTGCACAGAGAAATTTAGGTTGGAAGGGACCTCTGGGGGTCATCTGGTCCAACCTGCTGCTCAAAGCATGCTCAACTAGATCAGGTAAATCTTTCCTTGTGCTAATTTAAATTTCCTGTTTCCCAATTTGTATCCATTGCCTCATGTCCTCTTACTCGGCACCTCTGAGAAGAGTCTGGCTCCATCATCTCTGCAGCCTCTGACTGTAACTGTAGGCAGCACTAAAGTCTTCTCAGAGCCATCTTCTCTTCTCCAGGCTGAACAAACCTAGTTCCCTTAGGCTACTGTGTATCCTGTGCTGCAGCTCTCTGACCATCTTGGTGGCCTTCCACAGGACTTGCCCTAGTGTGTCCATGCTTTTCTGCTACTGGGAGTACTGAAACTGGGTACAGTACCCAAGATTCAATCTTACCAGTGGTGAGTAGAGAAGAATAAACACTTACTTTGACCTGCTGGCTGCAGCCTTTGTTAATTCAGCCTTGTACACAGCTGGCCTGCTTTGTCACAAGGCATACTGCTGACTCATATTCAGCCTGCTGTCCATTGCAAGTCCTTCCATGCAGCGCTGCTCCACAGCAGTCAGCACCCAGCCTATACTAGAGCATGGGTTATTCCCCTTCTCCAGCTTCTGGCTCCTCTGAGTAGCCTCTTGACTGGCCCGAACATAATCTGTGAGCTTGCTACAAGTGCACTTCATTTCATCGTGGTATCAGTCCCTCAGTCTCTGAGGGGTACCACTGATAACCAGTTGCCAGCTGGATTTCGCATGGATAATACAACCCTTTGAGCCTGGTAGTCTGGCCAGTTTGTCACCCAGGTTTTCATGGCAGCATTTGTCCTAAGCTGCTGAGGCTGGTGGTCTTTGCCATTTACTACGTTTGAGCTATAAAAGCTATATTCAATCTGAGGAGCCTGGTTTTGATCCTCTGTACATTTACGGGCATCTCTTTGGAGGTGAACATAGGTTTTCCTCTTTCCACTGAAGAGCAGCTCTGTGTTGACTGGTGGTTGAGTGGCCAACCGAGACGGGGGTAATGGAAGGGGATGTGATAGCCTTGTCTGACGAGGCAGTGATACTGGATTTTAGAGGTGAGAGCACGCCATTGTAAGCATGAATGGCTGCTCTTGCTAACAGTGATGAGTAAGAGATCCCCATAAGAAAAGATTCTCTGTAAAATCAAAAGATGTGCTAAAGTATGTAGTCTGCATTAACGCATTTTTACCCACAGGTATATACTTATTGAGGTGCAAGATGTCTGCCCTGAGGTTGATTTCTAACAGAACCTCCCAGCAGGCCTTGTCTAACTCTGATTACACCTGGGACTATGAGTACTATGAGTATGGACCAGTGTCGTTTGAAGGCCTGAAGGCTCATAAATGTAAGTTCAGTAGAGACATGCCTTACTGCAGCTGAGCTTCCCCCTTTTAATGTTCCTACTCTTAATTTGTAATTGATTCTATGAAAATATCTCATATTTTTTTTTGAATTCTCAGCCATTGGAGGTATTACTCCATTAGAGTCTTTGTTATTCTGTGCCTTTTTTGTAGGATGCTTTTCTTGTGCATGAGGGAAGTATGGATTTCTTTGCTGTGATAGAAATTTGTCAATACTGAAATTATCAGACTGTTTAGAAGAGTTTCTAACAGCAAATGCAGCCATTGCTGCTTCTGGTGACTACTTGGTATGATCTGTGTTGCTTTGCTCTTGTTCCTGTTAGTGCTAAAAAGTGGTGGGCAACCTTACTGCTTTTGGTTTTTAAGGCTTTTAAAATGAAAAAAAAGGAAATTTCTGAGGAAATTTTTATCATTGGGACTTTCTTCATAGGAGGAGTATTCTAAATTCAGCATTCTGGTAATACTGGAGCTCTAATTTAAAGTGGAATAACAAGTAGAGGATGGGACCAGAGAGATGGAAAAATCTGGGTAGAAACTGAAAGGAAATCGAACTGGGACAAGCTACTGCAGCTGCACCAACATTTACCAAAAACCCACACAATGCATTTGGCTTTTAGAATTTTTTTATTTTTTTTTTCTTTTAGGGGGAGATGGTTGGGGGAGGGGGGAAAGGGAGGAAAAAAACCAAGAGACTAATTCAGATTTACTGTACCTGCGTGGGAAAATGGGGGAAATTGGAGATCACCTCTCCCGAGTCAACCAAAGTTATAACACTAAGGAAATCTTAGGGTAAAATGGTAAAATGCGGCTGCTACTTCCAGCATGGAATGCGGCTGGCATGCATGGAATCTCCCAGAAGATAGTTCCTCAGGCAACCCTGCAACCTTGGCATATGCTAAGAGAAACTGAATAGAGGGTGAAGCAGAGTGAAGGTCCTGCAGCCAGGCTCTGTTGTACTCCCTGCGGGAGTACTGATAAATTGCACACAGCTGCCAAACACGCAAACTACATTCGTGTTATGAAAAGCAAAGCAAGAGGATTTTACACCCATCAGTAACAAAGAGTGTGACTGGAGTCATTCAAGCTCCATATGCATAGAGGCAAAATAATGGAAACTTGTGTTATGGATAGTCCTGAACAGATACAAGGGCCTCCTACAACACTGGGATGAAAAACACCGGCAAGCAAACAACTGAGATCAGAAAAATGCAGTGTTAAAGTCATCATTAGCCCTTGAGAAGGAGGCAGGAGAGAAAATTGTGACTGAGAGTAATAAATTTAAAATTTAAAACTGAAAATAATTACCTCGAAACAGAGAATAACTACCTCGAAACTGAACCCTCTTAAAATGAAGTGGACTGTCTAACAACTCTGCTTGATCTAGCAAAATGCAAAGAGAAGCACTGCTGGAAAAGCAGTCCTCTGTTGCAGTCAGGCAGATCTGCCAGTCAGTATATTACTCAGACCCCAAGACTTGGGAAGGAGACATCTGGTGTGAGTGATGATGAAATCACGGGTAGCCCCCATTCTGCCTCTTGTTCGGTTCCCTTGAATCATTGGTTAAGACTGAGGCTGCTGTTCCTAGTGATGGGGAAATTCAAGCTACCCCACGTGAAGTCCCCTGGTCTGCATGTTCTGATGAATTTTTTAGATTTGATGAAACTGCAGGAAAAGCATTCAAAACAACCAGGGGAATCAGCAGTCGAGTTTGCGTGGCAAGTTTCCCTTGTTGGGCAGACTGAATTCTGCTCAGTGAGGAGGAAGGACAAGGCTGTTGGGGCCAGAAGTGTTTCTAACAACCATGCCAGGAGATCATAATTATTGTCTAACTGCACAGACTGCGTTCTGGGCAGGCAGTATAGATCCTCAGGAGAGAGGAGACTCACTGGTAATTAAAACTGTAGGCTTATTGAACTTGTCTGAGTCAGTGCAGAAGCACTGGTCCAGGGTGAGATACATACTCTGCCTCATTTGTCATGCAAAGGATTCAGACAGGGAAAGGGAATTGCCTGCAGTGGCAAACTGCAGCCGAGAAAGGCAGATCTCCCTTGGTTTGCACAATCAGGAGGTTTTGGAGAGGTTTTGTAAGGCACAGAAAAACTTGTTGAAGTTATTAACACTTAAAAAAAACTAAAGCAGAATTTAATTTTTAGCCTGAGTTGTGCTTTTATAAATGTTAGGTACTCAAAAAATATAGGTCAGCTTTTATCATGCTTCTAATTTATATTCCATCCTTCCACTTAATCAGATGCCAAACCTGATTACAAAGATTACTGATTACAAAGGTTAGCTGTCGTGCTTTGTAAGTTTCTTCCTTTTTAGCTATGTGTATCAAGGATTGTGATGGGACTAAAATATACAAGTGATAGTTCCTGCTGGATTGCAGAAGGTACAGCAACAAAGCAGGTCTTGGACTGCCATTGAAGTGATTGCCCTGCATTATGTGTGGCAGCTCAGCTTTGCTGTCTTCACTCATTCTTGACAGCCCTTAACTAGAGAATAGGACAGACGAAATAACCTCTTTTCAGGTGGGGCTTGAAGTACTTATGAAAAAGGTTGATATTGAATCGGTGATCTGGGAAGGCCCTTTTCTTTTTTTTCTTTTTCTTTTCCAAGTCATTTATTACTTTTTTTTTTTTTAACTGATAGGTTGAATTTGGCTCTATTCACCTTGGTGTTACTTCATGCGTGCTCAGAGGGCTGAGTTTAATCTAGTAAAGCACTGTAACTTACGTTAGAGAGCTTAAAGGGGAGTGGACTCTCGTTTAACTGGTGCTGCCTGGCTGTGACACTTGGTCAGCTGTAACTCATCACTGTTCCTTCTTAAAATTAGAGGTGTGCAACCCCCTTAAAGAGAGAGGTGTGTTTTATTTTAAACTGCTATTTATTTATGAAAGACAAGGTGTTTCACACAGAAGGGAGGTTACTGTTTTGGACCATAATGTAAGATGAATTACAAACAAAAAAGTTGGAGGTCACTTTTGGCTTAATGTTGACTTAATTAATTGTAGACAAGGACAGGTCCCTAACGATTTAACATGCATACAAAGGAATTCAGAGGCCTGGGTTTTTGAAAGCAGAGAAAGATTTATGCAGGGACCTGTGAAGAGAGATGTTGACTAAACAATCTAATACACAAAAATCCATTTATTAAAGAAAGTGGAGGGGGGGGACAATGAAAAGTCCCTGTGGCACCTGAGCACCTCAAATATATGACTGCAAAGAAGAAAGAAAAAAAAGCTGATTTACCAGCAAAATATGTGTCCTTTGCCTGAAGAGAAGTGAAGGCAGGAACTAGGTTTTGTAAACTACAGCTTTAGAAAGTAAATAGATAAAGATAGCCAGGAGACACCTGTGACTGGCAGAGATAAGAACGAAATCCTTTTTTGTGCCTTTGGAACAGAAGAAACCTCAGTAACATTAGAGAGAGGTAAACCAAGTAGGAATGGTCAGGGGAGTCAGAACTGCTGCCAGGATGTTATGAGTATGTTGCAAAGGAAAGGAAGGCTGATACAGCTAGAGAAATTCATAGGATACCTCTCCAATCTAGTTACAACTTGGGGCAGTATTATAAATGTAGTCCTGCATACCATATGTTTTGAATATAAATGTTGTGTACGGTTTTATGCTGAATAAATGTTTAGAAGTTGGTAGGTTTGGATAATTTGCACTTAAATGAAATACGGAACAGAACTTGGGCCACCTGATTTAATTTTAAACAAATTCAAACCATACAGACATACTGACATACTGATACAGCAGAGCGCTGGAAGTGCCTCAGGACCCTCAGCAGGGCAAGGAAGATGTAGCTTTAGGCTCAGTAAATTTAGCAATCCTGCTGGGGAGGAACACCAAACAAACCACAAGACAGCCTCTTGCTGTTCACCACAACCTGCTGGCAGGTGTGAGTTTTGTGGGGAGTAGAAGTTTATCAGAGTCTTGATTTTATGCTTTTCTTGAAGTTTGCTTTCTTTTGGGATTTTCTTTTTTCCCTCTTTTTCCCTTTAATGTTGTGTTTTCTTTCCTTTTTCTTTTTTTTTTTTTGTGTTGTTTTTTTTTTTTTTTTTTTTTTTTTTTTTTTTGTTTTTTTTTTTTTTTTGTGGTTTATTTTGTTTTTTGCTTTTGCAGCTTGATCTTTGCATGTTTTTTGAACATCTTACTTTCATCAGAGTTTACATTCAGGTTATCAATGCAGCTGTATATCATTGAAGCATGTCTGACTAATTGGTAGGTACTAGTAGCTCTAAGTAGCAATTTTCTTTTTAATGTGACTATTTCTTTCTAGATGAAATTTTCAGGTACTACAAAAGCTGGTAGGGTGGTAGATACTCATGAGATATTGTGTATTAGTAACGCCAAACACAAGATGCATCTCGAGCTACTGAATTCAGACTATGCATATAGAATGATTCTGAGAAAAATGTAGGGCTCATAATGCATGGAGTCACATAAACTAACTCGTAACAGTACGCTTCAAGTAGAAAGCAGTGTTACAAACTCCCTGCCCCTCCCCGTCATGGAGACCCATACTTGAACCGTCCTCTAATTATTTTACAAAGGGTGTTGAGAGGAGGAGATGTGGCAGAGGAGAGATGGAATAAGTGCTGCAGTGGGAGGCTTGAAACTTAATCCCTCTTTCTGGTAAAATAAAGAGATTAAGGAGTGATTTGTGATATTTTCACAGAGAACAAATCTCAAGTTGAAGCAGGCACTTGGACTTGGCAAAAAAAAATAGCAAATGATTGGAACTGATTTCCAGTCTACAGAACTGCCTTTTAGCACGGAAGATATTTCACAGTGGGAGAGTGATTAACTGTTGGGGTCATGCACCAGGCAGAATAGCTGACTCCTTCTTTTCTGGTATCTTTAGTGAGTCCTGCAGGAGATTCAACAGGCTGGCTAGAGCTCTGTGCTCTGCCTGCTGCACTGGCTCACATAGCTTTACAGCCAGCTTGGCTCTTTGAGGTTCAGTAGTAGCTGTGTAATGAGAGCTTAAGGGTAGATTGGACACCTGTCCTGACCAAGGCTTCCCTCTTGCATGTTTGTGTGTCAGGGTTTTTTAACTTCTACAGTGGAAGTTTTGAATATTTGCATAAACAAAAAATAACTGAAACAAAGGGTGAAAAAGTACCCGTATAATGTGGGTCCTGGACCAGATTATATTTTGGGTTAATGCTCTGTAACTTTAGGCCATGCTCGTCAGCTGATTGCTATTTGTTGAGACAAATATGTTTGTCTCAGTTGTGCCTCTAGGTTAAGTTTGTGGAAGCTTTGAGCTTCCTTCAGGAGCAGCTTTGAAGTCGTAAGTGGACATAGATTCATTGTAAGTAGAACTGGCGATTTGTCTATGGGTCCATTTACTCCAGATGAGAACAGCAGGAACATTTTGGGCACACAGGCAAAAAGCCATGCTCTTTCCATTGCTTGGTGTCTTCCTCTTAATTAACTGGTGGTTTGACTTTTTTATCCAAATCCATTTGGCTCTCCTGACACTGTGTTGCTGTTTTCTGTATGCAAGTTGGGTCCCAAATTAAAAATTATTCAAAAATGTCTTGTATATGTTGGTTATTGGTATTTGTTGAGGTAGCAAATAGTTTTTTATCTGTGGCTCTGTTTATTTCAGAAAGTCTTCTGGACTTGCTGTCATGCTGCATGTGAGGAAGCTTCCTGCAAGTGGAGGGGAAATACTGATCATCTTGTTTTCTCTTTTTCACCAGATTCCATTGTGATTGGATTTTGGGTTGGTCTTGCAGTTTTTGTTATCTTCATGTTTTTTGTCCTGACCCTGCTGACAAAGACAGGAGCACCACATCAAGAGTGAGTCTGAAAACTGGAACAAATCCAGCCTGCTAACTAGTGTGTCTGTTCTTTTGCAGACCCCAAAAGCAGTGACAGTGCTGATATTGTACTGGCTCAGCACCATCATGTTCTAGTCTGTCCTTATGGAAGGGTGCAGTCTGTCTTTGTTCCTAGCCCTTCTTGGAGACCAATTCTGTAGAACTGTTATTAATGTGTTCTCTATTTAGCAGCTAGTCAGTAGGAATACAGCGAGAGAAGGGAATAGCTGCATGTCTGCCTTTTCATGCTAAAAGGAAGTTGGTGGGTAGGCTGCCAAACAGATGGTTTTAAATTACTGTTCTGCAGATAAGTGGGGTCATTTTAGGTAGGCTTATGTTATGATGGAGTGAAACAGAAATGTGAATATTGACAGAGTATATACAAGTAAAATACAAGGCAGATGTTAAATCAAGGAAGGTGAAGACTGGCAGGCTTACACATGCTCGTGTGGTCAAGTCCAAAAGGTAGGTATTGGTAGTGTTTACAAACTCTCCCCTTAACCCTGTGGCTCCCCTAGTCTCAGTGTGTCTCAGTTTCTGCTGAGAAAGTCCAGTAGGTCCTGAAGGACAGATCAGCTCCACATGTGATTAACACCAGGGTCCCCTGAAAGTCACAAACTAATCTTCATTTTTTCCCTTTTTGTTCTTTCTGGCTGATAAGTATGTGCAGACTGCCTTGCCGTGACCATTTATTTGCATTTGCACAGTGTGCAGACTGTCAGCATCCCTTCCTCTAAGTAAGTTTAAACCCGCATCTCCTCTCAGACTAGCGTACCATAAAGTAGAAGTAAAAAGCCCCTCTGGAGAGTGAGATTGCTTGCAGGCAGGTAGCAGTGATGAGAAGCTGATTGTGAAAGGCAATTGTTAGTGCTTATCACTTTCTGAAGCAGCCTATCTCTGCCTACTGAAGGCCCTCTGCTATTTAGTCATATGTAGACTGGCTCTGAAACTTCATGTAATGGCAGATCTCTGGAGACAGGGCCATATTAGAGAGGACGTAAGTATATCATGACCCTCTTCTGTGCTCCTGAGGTTTTGCTTCTATGAGAAGAAAATAGAGGGAGAAGGATTGAGCTTCCCAGAACTGACTTTCCAGTATTTTTGCCTCCCTTACAGACTGTCATAAAGTTGCCAGACCGCGGTCCCAAATGTATTTAAAGTCCTTCTAAGTGTTGGTATGCTGCCCCTTTTTGCTGGAGATCTTGTTTCTTAGCCAAGCATGAGAGTCTGTATCCCACGTGAATTTGAAAGGGAAATAAAGTGATGAAGTCAAATATACAGCAAAGATTTTAACATGTACATTTGTCAAAAGTTTGTACATTGTAAAAATGTACTTTCAGGTAGCAGAGGCCTGCTTGGTATCTCCCACTGTTCTGCTTTCTTCAACAGTTTTCTTGGAAACGGTTGCCTAGAGAGGTTGCCAGGAAGGAGACCAAAATCTTGTTTTGCTCCCCTTTGACATCCAGATAACCTGACCTGAATTTGGAGTTGGCCTTGCCTTCATCAGGGCATTAAGCTAGAGACCTCCGCGAGTCCCTTGCAATCTAAGTCTTAATGTAATTTTTCTTCAGTTGCTGAAAGCCCACTTATTCCTTTCTGTATTTGTTTTGAACTTTGCAGCTTTGGGAGCTGTGTGCTTCAGTGTTTGCCTACTTACTATGTGTGCTGATTTGGCACCTTGAACAAATTTGAGCGCTATTTTTTTGAGATTTGATAACCAAATATGTATGGTACTGGAAATAGATCATCCAGGAAAATGGTAAGGGCAGTGAATACTGTTGTTTCCTCTTATTTTTGATACATGTATATAAAAACTGCAACATAAATACCTACCTGTAGAACCAGTGCAGACTGTGGTTTTTAGTTTGCTTTTACCTTCTCTCTTTATGCCTGACTGGATTCTTCATGACTCATCGTTCCACTAGTGGGCTGTCTTGCAGCCCTCCTTTAGAAATAGATGTTAATGGGATTCCTACGCCAGCCTGATTGATGCATGTGTCTCTGACTTCAGTTAAGTCAATTTGGCTGCTCTTTTAAAGTACCATTAACGTGAGACATAAGCGTAACTGGGTTCACATGGCTGGATCCAAAGTAGAATACTCTGATTTCTCTAATAGTATGCTTTTCTTGGCTCAGTATAAAGGGGTACAATAGCATGTAGTTATCAAAATTGTACAAGATGTTCAGCATTGGGTACAGCCTTATACCAGAGGAAAAGGGTCAGGATACGGATGGGGAGAGATATAAATTTAATTAGCTGTGGAAATGATGTCTGTTGCACTTCTGTTTTGTTTGCCTGGACATTAGTATGTGTAGAACATTAGCTTGTGCAACAAAAAAATTGTTGACAAGCTGTCTGAATTTCTGCCTGAAAAGTACTGTCATTCATCACTCAGAAGAAGACAGGACTCTGTTTCTGCCTTTAAAAACATCCTTACAAACACGCTGCGCAACGAACGCATGCGTTCGTGTACTCTCTCTGTACAAAATACAAATATTGGCTAATGTCACCTCAAAGCTTCATGCAGCTGTTGAGGCAGGTTTTACAACCAGTTGCAGTAAAGGTGAAACGACTGGTAATATTTTCTTAAGAAATCAGTTGATTTTGGTTAAGGATCGGTTAGCTCCCTTTGAGATGCCAAACAGCGCTATTCTGGGGAATTTGCTACTTACTCCTCTCCATGGTTTGCCAAGTACTTCAGGTCACTTTAGGGAGGGTTCAGGGAAGGGCTGTTTTGGCTATAGAGCTCAAGTGTTAGTCCCAAACCAGTATGCACCTGTTAGATGGGTATCCTGGGCAAAATGGTCCGTACCCTGACAGTGCACTCAAGTCCAGTGGGCAGAATCCAGAGCCTAGTACCGAATCCAGCAGACCAGAACCCAGCATTGTAGGCTGGAATTTTCCCAGGAAAGGAGCTTGGGTTAGTTCACGGGCAGTGCTTGTTTTGAGCGGTTTTGTGTATGTATGGTGCTTGAGGTGTCCGGCATTCACTTTTCTGCTCCCTTGTGGGCAGCTTCTGGGACTCAGAAGGTCCCATTGGCCCAAATGCTGTGAAAGGGATTTGATTGTCCAGGTGGCTGTGCTCCCTTCCACAGTAAAGCTGGGATTTCTGAAGCTGCTGTTCTTATTCTGAAAAGACAAACGCTGAGGTATACTTGCATGCTGTAATGAGCAAGACTATGATTCCTCCCCAAAACACAGAAAGATAGTGTTTGTGGATTTCAGAATCCAAAAATACCACTGTGTATTACGTCATGTGTTTTCCACTCGTGAGCGTAGGATTATTCTCTATTTTACTGTATGTCCTTAACAGTATGGTCATTATAAAATTTTGCATCTTCCATTCTTCTGTTAAGATTAGGTTGCCACTGCCAGTCCTGTGTGCCCCTCATACAGTCAGCCTTTGCTCCTTCACAACTCATGGTTTCTAAAGTACTTTCCACACTTATGAATGGGTTTTACTTCTCTAATGGGTGCATTTTAAGCTTTCTTCCAAACTCACTTCTTCCTAGGCTGTTATCCTCTTTCAGTGCTTATTTGCCACCTCTGCTGTCCATGCCATAACACTACAGAGAAACTCTTACTGACAGATTTGCAAAACCGTATATGTCAATTAAATTTGGAATGGCTCTTTCTGTTGCATTATAAGTACATAGACGATAGTCATCAGTTCTGAAAGCTACCACAGTATTATTCCAGTCTGTTTGCCTCCTGGTGTGCATACAGCAGACTAGTACTTAGTTACTGGACTGTTTTGCATCAATTTAAATACTATGCTTCTACATGCTTCCCTTTGAAATGCAGAATGAGCCATTACAGTTTTGACAAACTTAAAGCCTGCTTTGATTGGAAGGCTACTGTAACTGATTTTGTTGGGACAGAATTCTTGTTTTACGTGATGGAAGCAAATTAGCACGTTTAACTATGACTGAAAGACTGAAAGGTTTTCAGAGTAGATTTCTGAAGGTGCCATAAGGCTTTTAAAAGCATGTAGGCACTTACCTCTTACTGCAGGCTCGAGGGAATTAAATGACAGTGTTCCTCTTAAAATCTATGTAACTGCCGTGTGCACTTAAGTGTCCAACTGTCTGGCTCCAGTGTCATTTGCAAGGAGTTCACATGTAAAGAGTATGCTTTATTAATTCTTATGTAACAATTCTTACTTAGCTTTTATTCTGAGAATGTGTTTATAGAGTTTTCACTACTCATACTCTGAATACCTCTACTGCCATTCAGATGCAATTTTGTCATGACAGGATATAAATTCAGCCTGACAAAGAATGCATTACTAGCTGTAAAACCAACACCCAGCATGAGCTTTCCCCACCCCTAGCTCTTTATGGCTCCTGCACAGGGCCATGCAGATCGGAGCTGGTTTGAGCTAGCACTTCTAGAAAACTCTGAGAAGTGTTAAGATCATAGAATCAGCTAGGTTGGAAAAGATCTTTTAGATCATCAAGTCCAACCATTACCCCAGGACTGACAAGACCACCACTAAACCATGCCAATGAAAGCCTCATCTACACAGTTTAACAATTTCAGGGATGGTGATTCCACCACTTCCCTGGGCAGCCTGTTCCAATGCCTGACCACCCTGTGAAGAAATTGTTCCTAATATTCAGTCTAAACCTCCCCTGGTGCAGCTTGAGGCTGTCACATCTTGTCCTATTGCTTGTTACTTGGGAGAATGACCCCCACCTCACTACAGCCTCCTTTCAGGTAGTTGTAGAGAGCAATAATGTCCCTCTGAGATTTCTCTTCTCCAGACTAAACCCAGCTACCTCAGCTGTTATTCATCAGACTTGGGCCCCAGACCCTTCACCAGCTTCACTGCCCTTCTCTGGACCTGCTCCAGCACCTCAATGTCTTTTGTGTAATGAGGGGTGCAGAACTGATCATGATATTTGAGCTGCAGCCTCATAAGTGCTGAGTACAGGGGGACAATGACAGCCTTGGCCCTGGCCCTGGCCCTGCTGGCTATGCTGTTGCTGATAAAAGATGTCCTTCCTGGGCTATGTGTCTGAGTTGTTATGACTGCCAGACTTTAGAGCAGTCTTTAGTTCCAGCTCTCCTCATCTGGAAATCTGAATGACACTGATTAAAGTCAGTGGAAGGGATAGTTTGATGTCCAGACAACCAAGCACTCAAATTATACCTTTAGTGACAGCACTGCTGCCTATGTCTCAGATGTTTTTTCTCACAAGTGTTTGATAAGCCATTCTAAACAACCTGTTACTACTTGATATCAAAAGGAAGTACTGGAGAGTATTTCTAAGCTCATTTATTGAGCTCATTATAACAGTATATTGATTATTAGAAGTGCCATTTAAGAGTGCTGACATTAACTTATTCAAGTGGAAAATCATCACAACAAATCAAGACTTAAAATAACTTAAGCAGAAAATAATAAATAGTGCTGGCTTTTACAGTCAGTGGTAGACAAACTGTAGGGTTTCCTTCCTTCCTAATCGTAACGGTTGCTGAAAGCAAATTTGCTGTTAAAAACTTGTATGTTTTTACTTTTTGTGCTTACTGTATTTCTCTCTTTGCTCCCTAGCAATGCAGAACCTTCTGGAAAGAGATTTCGCATGAATAGCTTTGTGGCAGATTTTGGAAGGCCTCTGGAGTCGGAGAGGGTCTTTTCTCGCCAAATAGCTGAAGAATCACAGTCACTTTTCCATTTCTGTATTAATGAAGTGGAACATTTGGACAAAGCAAAACAAAATCAGAAAGGTCCAGGTCTGGAGAGTAATACCCACTTCCAGGAAGCTCCCAAGAGCAGCGGTATGTTTGAGGAAGACCTACACTGTCTTACAAAATTTAACATTCCTAACTTTGTGAATGCTGAGCAGAACTCTTCGCTGGGTGAGGATGATCTCCTCATCTCAGAGGCACCAATCATTTCAGACAGCAGATCAGTCATGCAATCATCCCATCGGATCCTTGACTAAAAAGCCTTTTACTTTAAGGTAAACATTCCCGTTACTCTCCACTTTGAAGCCTTTCATGGACTTCTGGTATTGTGATAGAAGGTATTTCAGATCTGTGTTTTCTACTGTATGTAAGACTGTCTGTGCTCACCCAACTCAGTTTAGATATGAAGTAAACCACTTAAAGCTTAATTCAGATGCCTTTTGGGTTTTGGGTTTTTTTTTTTTTGGGGGGGGTGTTTTGTTTTTTGTTTTTAAATCATAGGGTCTCAGGACAGTTTGGGTTGGAAGGCACCTTCAAGAACATCTGGTTCCAATGGGCAAGTATACCTTCCACTAGACCACATTGCATAGGGCCTCATCCAATCTGGCTTTGAACACTGCCATGGATGGGGCACCTACAGCTTCTCTGGGCAACCTGTGGCAGTGTCTCACCACTTTCACAGCGGAGAACTTCTTCCTAGTAATAATATCCTATTTATCTAATCCTAACATCTAATCTAAATCTATTTTCTTCTAGTTTAAAGGCATTCCCCCTTGTTCTGTCACTACCTGCCCCTATGTCCAGCTTCTGAAGGGTACCATCATGATTTCCAGGAGGTTCCTCCAGTGTATGGGTGATAACTTCCTCATGCAAATGGTGGATGAGCCAACCAGGAGAGGAGCGCTGCTGGATCTCATCCTCACTAACAAGGAGGATCTGGTCGAAGCAGTAAGGGTTGAGGGCTGCCTTGGTTGCAGCAACCACGAGATGGTGGAGTTCAGGATCTTGTGTGGTAGGACCAGTAAAATAGCAAGTAGAATTGCAACCCTGGACTTTAGCAGGGCAAACTTTGGCCTTTTCAAGCAATTGCTGGGGGAAATCCCATGGGCAAGGCTGCTTGAAGGAAAAGGGGCCCAAGATAGTTGGTTGGCATTCAAGGATTGCTTTTTCTGAGCCCAAGATCAGAGCATCCCGACACCTAGGAAGTCAAGGAAGAGGCCAGGAGACCTGCGTGACTAAATAGGGAATTGCTGGGTATGCTCAAGTGGAAGAGGAGAGTTTACAGGTCGTGGAAGGAGGGGCTGGCCACTTGGGAGGAATATAAGGCTGCTGCTAGAGGATGTAGGAAGGCAGCTAGGAGGACTAAGGCCTCCTTAGAATTAAACCTGGCGAGAAGGGTCAAGGACAGCAAAAAGAGCTTTTTCAAATACATGGCAGACAAAACTAACACCAGAGGCAATGTAGGCCCACTGATGAACGGGATGGGTGCCCTGGTGACAGAAGATACAGAGATGGCAGAGTTACTGAATGCCTTCTTTGTCTCTGTCTACTCTGCTGCAGGCAGTCCTGAAGAGCCCTGTACCCCTGAGACCTCAGATGAAGTCAGGTCAACGGAGCGGTTTGCCTTAGTCGATGAGGAATGGGTTAGAGACCAGTTGAACAATCTGGACATCCATAAATCCATGGGTCCAGATGGGATGCACCCGCGGGTGCTGAGGGAACTGGCGGAAGTCATTGCTGGACCACTCTCCATCATCTTTACCAAGTCTTGGGAAACGGGAGAGGTGCCTGAGGACTGGAGGAAAGCAAATGTCACTCCAGTCTTCAAAAAGGGCAAGAAGGAGGACCCGGGTAACTATAGACCGGTCAGCCTCACCTCCATCCCTGGGAAAGTGATGGAACACCTTATCCTTGGTGCCATCTTAAGGCATTATCAAGGATAAGAGGGTTATGAGGGGCAGTCAACATGGCTTCACCAAGGGGAAATCATGTTTGACCAATCTCTTAGCCTTTTATGAGGAAATAACACGGTGGATGGATGATGGCAGAGCGGTGGATGTGGTCTACCTTGACTTCAGCAAAGCATTTGACATAGTCTCCCACAGCATCCTCACAGCTAAATTGAGGAAGTGTGGTCTGGATGATCGGGTAGTGAGGTGGACTGCGAACTGGCTGAAGGAGAGAAGCCAGAGAGTTGTAGTCTATGGGGCTGAGTCTAGTTGGAGGCCTGTAACTAGTGGAGTGCCTCAAGGGTCAGTACTGGGACCAGTATTATTTAATATATTCATCAATGATTTAGATGAGGGAATTGAGTGTACTATCAGCAAGTTTGCTGATGACACTAAGCTGGGAGGAGTGGCTGACACGCCAGAAGGCTGTGCTGCCATCCAGCGAGACCTGGACAGGCTGGAGAGTTGGGCAGGGAATAACTGGATGAAATATAACAAGGGAAAGTGTAGAGTCCTGCATCTGGGCAGGAACAACCCCAGGTTCCAGTATAGGTTGGGGAACGACCTGTTAGAGAGCAGTGTAGGGGAGAGGGACCTGGGGGTCCTAATGGATGACAGGATGACCATGAGCCAACACTGTGCACTTGTGGCTAAGAAGGCCAATGGCATCCTGGGGTGTATTAGAAGGGGGGTGGTTAGTAGGTCGAGAGAGGTCCTCCTTCCCCTCTACTCTGCCCTGGTGAGACCGCATCTGGAATATTGTGTACAGTTCTGGGCCCCTCAGTTCAAGAAGGACAGGGAGCTGCTGGAGAGAGTCCAGCGAAGGGCAACAAAGATGATTAGGGGAGTGGAGCATCTCCCTTATGAGGAAAGACTGAGGGAGCTGGGTCTCTATAGTTTGGAGAAGAGACTGAGGGGTGACCTTATTAGTGTCTATAAATATATAAAGGGGGAGTGTCACGAGGATGGAGCCAGGCTCTACTCAGTGGCAAACAATGATAGGACAAGGGGTAATGGGTACAAACTGGAACACAAGAGGTTCCACTTAAACTTGAGAAGAAACTTCTTCTCAGTGAGGGTGACAGAACACTGGAACAGGCTGCCCAGGGAGGTTGTGGAGTCTCCTTCCCTGGAGACATTCAAAACTCGCCTGGACACATTCCTGTGTAACCTTATCTAGGTGTTCCTGCTCCGGCAGGGGGATTGGACTAGATGATCTTTTGAGGTCCCTTCCAATCTCTAGCATACTGTGATACTGTGATACTGTGATTTGCAGAGAGCATAAAGGCTGTAGCCTGGCACTGGGAGGTGTATGAAAACTGCTCATCCAAGAAAAGTCTAAACCTCAAATTAAAGCTGGAGCAAGGGATAAGTAGTTGGTCCCTGGAGAAGTTCTGCAGCTTCTGTTACTCCCCAAAAGGCCACCTGAAACTGAGCAGCACAGTCGGTATCTGCTTGGAATTAACTTCAATTTCTGATACCTAACTGCTTCTCGGTGCAGGTTAAACCCAACAAAGCTTCCAGAGAGAATACCTGGCATAATAAATTGTGCACAGTGTTTACAAAATGCTATCACCACCTGCTGCTGAGCAAAAGCAAATTGGTACTGCATTTATAGTATTTCAGAGGGACATTCTGACAGTTGCCCAGTGATAACCTGGAATTAGCATCCTACAAACAGTAATTTGACTTTTTTTGTTTTTTATTAAATTGCTGATGCGAGCTTCCAGTTTGGTAAGTGCAGGATTCAGTAGCTAAATCACAGGAAATTGGATAACTATTCCTACATATTCATAGAGTTGCTGTATGCAAATAAATGTCAGTGATAAGTTGGTGTTATACTTTGCTTATAGGCTGAACCTTCCTGTGCTTTTTGGCTCCATCAATGGCCCTTTTCTTGACCAGTGGGCCAGCAAAGGGCTAGCAGGTGTGAAGCTGTGGGGAGGACTACCTCCAAAAGCATGGCTGAGCTGCACTTGCTGTGTCCTGTTTTTGTACTCGGGATGGTGTTGCAACCACAGCTGCTCTCCCAGGGAAAGGTTTGTTGAATAGGTGTAATTTCAACCTTTATTTTTTTAGAGAAGTAATATCGTTCTGAACCTTAGCCAGAACTTACATTACATTTAGCTTTCTTAAAAAAAATTGTAACTAATGGTCAAATGATTTTAGAGCAAGCACATAGGATGCTGAGAAAACAGGTTTAAATCCTTTGCTGGGTTTGGAATAAGAGTGCTCTGCAGGCAGTTATTAACCGAAAGGAAACTAGTGGATCCAAGATATCATGCATAACTGGGTTTTCTTGAAACTAACTTGCTTTGCATGGAACATGTTTGAGTGAAAATGTAGGAATTGCCTGCTGGTATGTTCTTTAGCCACTTCAATGCTTAAATTCGTTAAGCATTCATTTCATAAAATTATTTCATTCTTCCTTCACCTGACAAAGAGAATAAATAGTGAATGGCTTGTACATTTAAAGAATGCAAAGACTGGGGAAACTTCTTTTGTTTTTTAACTCCTGTGCCCTTATAAACCACTTACACCTAAATTTCCTGTTTTCAAATATAATTCTTGCACTACTTCCTAGTGTTTAAAGAATGGGTTTATACTTAAAGCAAAGCAGAGGCTGTTTAAAACAAGCAGACTATTGTTGAAAGTAGTTCCTAAAAGGAGACTGAAGTGAACTCTGTTATGAATGAGTATAGCTGTATGGTTGCAATGTAGATCTTGAGGTGCAAAAAAGGCCTCCCTTTACAGTAAGTACTCAACCACAAGTATGAAGGCTGTAGCTGTACAAGTTCCTTTTTCTCTTCCCAAATTAAGAAATTGCTTGCTGTTCCCAGTCAGTTAACCTGACATTTTCATCTGGTACCTTAAATCTTTGTGGCTTTTGTTTGGGTGCATAACTGCAACTTTGGGAGAAAGGAGAAATATTCATGTGAATGGATGCTGGTGACAGTTAGTACCCAAATGAAAGGCACTTATAAAAATGATCAAGGGATAAGGCCAACTTCACTTATACCATATTTGAATTGTGTTCTTAGTGTTGTCACTGAATTCCAGGAAATAACCTCTCTAAACAGAATGACAGGTCAGAAAGCCAACGTTACTTTGTTGTGACACTGGGTACGTGGGAGATCACTCTCCCTACTACGTACCCCAATAAGAGACAGTTTATAGCTTTCATATCTTCACTACATACATATTCACCATAATTCTGTGAAATGACTACCCAATTCTTGTTACTCATGCATATGGTAGTTTGGGTAGATCAGGCTGTGGCACAGGGGCTGTGACTTCAAGGAGTGGTCGCTGGGGGTTGTGATGGTCCTCAGGAGAAATATCTCTACTCATTTTATCCTTTTACAGAAATCTGTTAGTTAAGGACATCAGAATGCATGTTTAGTCTTGCCAGTTAACTGCATGTTCTTGTTTGGTCTAATCTGCAACCCTGAGAGGCTCCTCAAATTGTTTTCTTTTGCTGCTGTTTACCTATCTCTCAGGCCTTATCAGCAGGCTGGAGGCCTGTATTGGTTTGAGAGAAGGCATCTGGTCCTCTTGTTGCGTGCCTTCCTTATCTTGAGAATCGCTGTAGTCTTGTTTATGTCTAAGTCTCTATAAACAGCGGAATACTGATTTAAGAATCCGAGTAGCCCTGTCTATGTCTAAGTCTCTATATACAGTAAACTATATACTAGTTTAATTCAGTATTGCTGTCCTTCTAAAGCATGTGTTAATCCTCCACAGGTATTTGTTTGGTTCCTGCTCCCGTTCTTGCACTTTTTCCATCTCTCTCCCTTCTGTCTCTAAAGTAAGTCCTTCACAGTGCTCTTTACAGAAAAATAATGTGGTGGTCCCCACTGCACAGCTCCCACATGGCTGCAGAAGCGCTGTGGCAGCAACACAGTCTGATTCACATTTTTTGCTCTGCCTGTGCATTAGAGCAGAGTCAAAAGCAAATTCAGAAATTTTCTGCAGTTTTCAAAAGCAGTTATTTTAAAGCTCGTTTTTTTTCCTTTTAGAACTAACAGACATGACATTTTGCCTCAGGGGTAAGGGGAGTGTAATAACCAACTTTGTATAACATGTTAAAGTTACCTTTTCAAAGAAAACCACCATGAGTTGGTTCACCATGAAGTGAATAGAAAGTGTTTTGAGCAGGATAATCCTTCAAAAGGGGTGCTAAGAATTTAATGGTGTTTGCAAATGGAATTACTGCAAGTTTTCCTACTGCTTGGGCTGTCTATTTCAGAGCCTCTTCTGAAAACCTGCTGTAAGTGCATCACCTGTGGTAGATTTAACTTCACAGGGAGTTCCCCTAAGATAATTACATATGTTCGCATAAAAATGTATTGTATTGTGTTCTCTAAGAACCTATTAGGTCAAGTTATGTACTCCAGTTTTCAAAGTTAAGTATTTGTGAAATGTTCTTCTGTGTAAACAAGTATTAGTTCTCTACCTTTAAAACAAACAACCCACTCAACCTACAATGTAAAATCAGAAGTTGCCTGCTCAATAGAGAAGAGAAAGGGAAAGGTAAAACTATGTACTCTACTACAATCTAATGATATACAGTCTCTAAAGCTAAAAGGTGAAGTAAATGGTGTGTATTTGTCATGCAATTCAGTATTTATGCACCTTCATATTGAGACTGTTTTTGCCACTATGTGACTAAAAGAATTGCCCAAGGCCCTAGCAAAGGAGGAAGTGAAGTGTGCGTACCCTCCTACTCTGCCCTCTCCTCCAGTGAAGGATGACAAAGCAAAATAAATCAACTGGAGATACTGCAGAGCTGGAATGAACTTACTTGGCAGCCTTGGGTGTTGTCAGGCAGCAAAGAGGGTACAGAGCCACCACACAGCCTTTTACCACATATTCTTCAACACATGCAAGAGTTGGAGGGCTGTGCTTTCTCATTTTTGGACAAGAGCTGAGTAGGTAGCTGTATGAAAGGCTAAACACGTTACAATTCACAGTTATCAGAGGACTTTCTGTTCCAAAACGTCAGCGCAGCACTTGATGCACAGTCCCCTTCCCCACAGAAATTGGATTTGCACAGCTTGTTCTAGTATACAGATCCTGTTCTCCCTTCTTCCAGAACAGGTCTACCAGATAAGACTTCAAAATGGATTATGTACTAGGAAACAGTCTTCACCCATTATAACCTATTTGATTTGTTAAACGAACAATTCTGGCATGTATTTCAGAGAAATTGAAATAGAACTGCTTATGTCTCTGCTGCAAGTGCTGTGCTCCTCTGCACACCCTGTTCTCTCTCAAAGCAAATGTCTTTTCTGCAATGTAGGTCACTGAGGCACCCGGCCAGCTGCTCACTTGGTTTCCTAAAGCTTCAAACATGACAATTCAAATTACTGTATGCCAGCTGCTTTGCTATAAACAAATGAATTCCAGCTAAACATAAGGCGATGATTCAAAGAAATTATCTTTAAGATTCTTTTAATCTATCCATTATAATGGGCCCTGGAAATGCACAATGAACTAGGATAACAGAAGAAGAGGAAAAACAAACACAAAGCAGTATAGAATTATATTACTCTGAGAGATTGCACCAAATTTCTCACTGGAATATGGTAAAAGCTAATGGCCGTTTCTGTCAGCTGTGTTTCAGGGTATGTTTCAGGCTGCTGGAGAGTCACAAACTCATAACTTTATCAGCGAAGTTAAAATTTGGATCTTAGTTCTTCAGAAAGAAGCCATTGCTACAGCTGCTCAAGACCAGAGGTAGTCTGTTACTGTGTAGAGCACCCACTTCATGGGAAATGCCTGAAAAATAAAGACCATGTAGTCTATGTGTAACTACATAAATACATGTGAGAACACAGTATAAACCATAGTATAGCTTACAGTAATGGTCAATAATACTGTCCCTGCTCAGTAAAACAAACTAGGAGAGATAATTTAATTTGAAATGTAACTCATGTGAGAACATTTGAAGGCAATGTTTGGAGAGAGAATTTCCAGCAACCAGAAATGCTCCCCCTGGGCCTTCCCATCCCAGGCAGTGCCCCAGCTGTAATTAAAAACATCACACTTCAGGTCACGGACTTTAATACAGAGTTACATCAATGGCAAATTGTACAGAAAGAAAAAAAAATTAGAGTTGAAATTACTCAGTTTTATGCTTTTCATTTGCAAAACAATCCAAAATCAAGAACACAAAGGCATATTTACACATAGCTTATCTATACAAAGCAGTGTTGTATTTACATAGTTTATGAATACAGACTAATACTTCATCTCTGGGGGACAAAACAGCCTCACTAAAAATACTGAAAATACCTGTATATGAAACAACCAAGACAGATTACGATATTGCTAACTGACTTATCTTTTTTTTGATTTGTGTGTATTCACTCTCACTTATGTTTGTGTATGTATATGCTTGAGAAGAAAGAAAAGTCCTTGCACTATTACTGCCAGTGTTTCCACAGTATAATGTGTTACATTATTTTGTCCTTTATGCATGCTCAGTCACATGCTTGTATAAACCAAACCTATTTACTGCTGTTCCTTAAAGAAGCACAATCATATAGTCACAGACCTGAACTATTTCCAGTAGTACAGGGTGCAATACATTCTAGTACATTCTGAAGAGCAGATTCTAGTTTTCATCTTGTTATTGTCCTAAATAAGGGTAGTTGATTGAACTACAACCTCAGTATATGTGCTGTGGAATTCTTAAGGACTTGCACTGCTGAGACTTCAAACTAGTAATTTACTGATGTGTTTGCAAACCTGTCTTTCAAGCCACCAAAAGCCAGCTAGCTTGAATTTTCTTTAACTTGACTTAATGCTTCTCCTTCTTTTATCCTTTTTAGCAGCAGGCTGGCCTCTTTGTTCTGTCAAGATCATCTATAAAGTTACTATCTCAGAACCAGAACAGCCCCTTGTAAAAATCATACTCAATACAGCTTTCCCTTCTAAAAGGGATACCGATAACTACTCTCACTGTATTTTATAGGCTTTTTTTCATAGCTGTCCAACTCAGCTAGATCACTCTGCCATCATTCTTACCAGCACAGTGGGAAATATATGAAAAGGAGACAAAGAATAGTTTGAATCTGAGCATCACCAGCAAGTGCCTGCTCTGCTCCAACCCACCAACCATTCACAAAGTTGAAAGTGGTATTAAAGATAGATAAGGGAAGGAATGCTTCATGAATTGGAGGGAGAGAAGCAAAGTCTTGGGAAAAGAGAGTTTCATGCCTTAATGAATGAAAAATAGTAACTCTACACACCAAAACCAGAAGCTAAACAGCATATTATATTGTTCACAAAGGAATCATTCAACAAAAGTTAAAAATACTAAGGCATGTTCTACAGTATCTGAAAAAGTATCAACTGGAATTTTTCATTAGTGATCAAATTTATGGAATAACCTCAATATTCCTAATCTTTTTTAAAAATGGCATGTAACTTTATTGCTAACAAAATATGACATACAATACAACTGGGTGCTGCTCAAGGCAAACCTACCTTTGGACAAGCAAGATTCCAGATAAGGTCAGAATGCAATTCAATTTACAAGCGCTACATTAATGATTGTCAGTAATATTTTCTATACATAACTTTGAATATTAAAATTGTACTTCTCTAATCAACTCCTACCCAATCACGTCTTCCAACAGCTGTCTTGCATGCTGAATCCACTGTAATTAGGTGCAGGAATAACAACCCCTTGTTTCTGCAGTTCGCGTAAAACATCTAATATTGAATCCAATTCCACTCGAAATCTCTCCAGTTCCTGGTTCTTCCGCTGTGCCAGCCTTTGCCACTTCTCCACCTCCTGGGTTTGTCTCACTTGAGCAACATGTTGCGATAGCTGGGTTGCCTGCAAAAGAGAAGCAGGTCAGCACTGTGACTTTCTAATCAACTACTATGCCCTATATTCCTGGCACTGTTCAAGGCCAGGCTGGACAGTGCCTTGAGCAACCTGGTCTAGCAGGAGGTGTCCCATGCCCACGGAACTAGATAGTTTTATGGTCCTTTCCAACCCAGACCATTCTGTGATTCTACTCAGCCAGTGTGGCCTCTTTGCCAAAATATACCACTTCATTACATTTGATGCTCAGTCTCAAAGCCCAGTGCTCACATTAAGTGGAAATAATTTGTTCTGTATATTACAAAAATCACCCTGAATTTCAATAGCTGCATTAATGACAGAAGGGTAGAATCCATTAGCGTGTAATGAGCCTCAGACAAATTTAACTTACCCTGCCCAAAGCAGCAATTAAAAGCTTGACTAAGACAAAGCTGGGTGTATAACATAAACCCCCATATAATCAAAATTAATCTTTTGAGTTGCCATTTAAGTGTGTTAATTAAGAGGACATTCTGCAACAGCATCTGAATGACATCTTCTGGGCTACTGCTGCACTTTTAAAAACCACAAGGTCTATGAATTACCAGAAAATATCCTGTAGTCACAGAAATCTGAAGCTGCTGCAGATAAAAGTCTGAATTAACTTTGACATGAATCCATGGCATAATCCTATTAAATTACCCAAAATAAAAAATGTCACAAGGTATCAGAATCTTCACACGACTATTAATTGTAACAGATTCTTTAAGGAAAGCTCTATCAACTTAAAAGCTGTAATTAATGTATTTGTAGTTTGATGTTCAGGATAACCTGTTATTTTCTTGTTCAGCAGTTACTTTTTCTACATTGTTCATTTCCTTATCCTTCATCTGGGGGACTGTTGGGTGCCCCACTGCAGATGAGTAAAGATGCAAAAACAGGACAAACAAAATCCAAAGCTTAATACATAACAAGGCTGGTAACAGCAGGAAAGATGACATTACATAGCAGAAACTGTGTGTACTACTATTTCTATTTTTATGAAATACATTACAACACATCTTAGTAAATACTACAGGTCAGGTAATTAATTTAATGGAGACAGATCACGGAAGAGGCAGCAGCAGACACTCTACAGAAACAGTAATACAAAAGCAAATAAATAGCATAAAAAATAACTATATTACAGTTACCTTTGGGAGGACAGAATGTGAACAGAAATAATAAAATCATCAGTGGCAGCACAGTCTGCTCTTAATCCAATGACCTGTTTTTATGCACAGCTCTTTTTGGAAAGTAAATTAAGTACATGACGTAGGAATGTATGAGAATAAAGCCTTTTAACATGAACAATTCTGTACATAAAAGTGTATTCCTTCAGACCTGGTTTCAAAACTGTAGAACAAACTCCCCAAACTAAGAACTGCTACAGTTTTGATGATTTGCCTGTCCGACTGACCTTTTTTAAGTTCATACATTTCAGCAAATCCAAAGTTAAAACACATACAAAAGACAATCATACATTTAAGTGATGGAAGTGTTGAGAAAAAAAAATAAATCTGTATCAACCAGAAAACTGTTTCCAGATAATAGATGAAAAACCAGGATGGAGGCTATGATAAAAGAAGATTAAAAAAAAATCAATGCAAATGTTTTACCCGCTTAAGGGATACAAACGTCAGATACAAGAAGCTGTATTACAAAGATCCAAGCTTCAAAATTTTTAACTTGTGGAGGATAAAGGCTTTTCGTTGTTGTTGGCTGGGGTAAGAAACAGTAGTCTGCTGAAAGATGTTTCTATACTTTTAATGCAGCTTCTCTGAATGGGACTTCTAGGACTAGAAAACGAAATTACAGTTCCGTTGAGGAACGTATCATAGCTTAACAAACTGCATTACAAATTTTTCAATAGCTAGCTTTCATTGTGTAACTGAAGTATGAAATAGGTGAATGATACACGGGACTTTGAGAGGTCCTGTGGTCCAAGCCTCTGCAGAAGCAAAGCCTCCTTAGATCAGTTTGTGAGGAAGCTACCTGATAGGTGAGTCATGCACAAGTAATCTTCATTACCACAACAACAGCATCTACACTCACTTCCATCAGCAGGCACTGAAGACATGGCTGTATCAATAACTACTTGCCCCCTGCAGTGTGAGCTAAATAAGCCTGTGCAAGTACCATGCAATTACAGTAAAACTGATAAATTGCTCTTAAGAAGTAAATGCAGAGATAACTCTGCTGTACCTTTTGAATTTCTTGCTGCCGTTCTGCATGCCTGGTCTCTATATGCTTGATTTTCTTTTCCAGGCACAAGAAATGTTTCATTTTGGGACTCTGGTTCTCCTTAGCCTCTCTCAGTTCTTCCAACAATTTTGTCACCTAAAATTTGAGAGAATTGATGAAAATTATTATTGTGTTAAGCAGTGTATAAAACAGATTCCTTTCAAAGCATACTTGTGGTGTTCAATCATTCCATTCAAAAGCTGCAGAAAGGAAGACAAAAATCTCCTTTATTCAAAAGCTTAAACAGGGTCTTGGGCACTTAGATTACGATCTTTCAGCTTTAAGAAGTGGCCTGAGGAAATGAAAATCTAGCCCTTGATGATTCCAATCCTTTTCATTATGTGTCATGAAGTGATTATTCACAGACACTTCTTACGCTTCTAAACATACTAAAAAAATAATAGAGAATACATGATTAGCTGGTCTTACACAGCCCCTTCTCACAGCCTGGATAAGGATCAAATATAACATGTAGTAGTGTATTTCTAAGGAATAAATTAAGAAAAGACATGCTGCTAACAGATACGATTACAAGCCCCCTTTGGTCTAAAACATGCCAGGTCAAATCAGCTCTACCAATGATTTACCTGAATTTCTGGAGGATTAGGAAATCAGTTGTAAGTTTTCTATAAAGCTTGGTTTATTCTCATTCTTTGCCTATTTTAAGTAACTTGGTATTTCTCCATTTAAATTTTTTTTTTGGTCATTTTCTTAATGTGCATAAGTAAACTAAAGTGGAAGCTTTGAAGTCCTTATCCTTTATTATAACCCTTAACTCCTCTTACCCAATATATGTGAGAACTGCTAACCCTCTTCAAGCACCCAGTTACACCTGGCTCTCTGCTGCTGAATTCAAGTAGCTGGAAGCATTGTGTCTTCTTAAGATGTTGTCACTGTTACTGAGAAATTACTCCAGGATGGCTTACTATTATTTCCACTTTTTTAACATGGCTTTCCAAAATAACAAGGCCGATGCTACTTTCATTTCTGCCTCTCTCCATAGCTTCAGCAGCTTTGAAGCTGTGGGCCAATTTCAGCCACATTTGTCAGATGAGCTGTCTTAGTTTCATAAGGTCTGTGAAACTGAGTGTCTGGTGCTTGGCTGCTAAGTTGCTCCACAGAAGGAAAAGGGCTGATGCGTGATTTCAAGTACATAATTAAATAAAAAATTCATGCAGGAAAAATCTTATGTAGGGAAAAAAGCCCCAAGGAAAAATGAGCTCCATATATTTTGCCAGCAACAGAACTATGTTAAATACAAAGCTGTGCAATGTGCAAGCTGTTATCCAGAGAAGTATATAGTTTATGGAAAACAGCCATAAAGAGCATTTCTAAAATTAGTATTAAAATAACAATCTTCCAGGGAACCTCAGACTTTTTTGCCCTTTTTGAGGTACCACCATTTTAGACTGAGGGCTCAATCCTACTGCAAATGGTAGTGCTTTTCCCTATCATGACTAACTCTGTTTGCAGATTTGGTTGCTTTCTTTTGTCAGCTCAACATACTTAACTATTTAATGCTCAAAATGTATTTTATAAGCATTGCAGCAATCATGCTAGAGGGCAAAAGGAAGGCTTTACATTGACATTTCTCTGTGTAGTGCAGCTACGATTTTTGTAACAAAGCTCTCCATTCCATTTTCTTACATGCCAGCACCTTGAACTCAGCCTGTAATATAGGGGTCAGATAGGATGATCATTCTCTTAAACATCACTGGTATTAATAATCTGTATAGCAGTCACAGAAGAAACAAATTAACAACATTTGTCTCACTGTACTCTCGACCTGTTTTCAGAGAAGGAAGTATTATATATACTGAGATCACTAGAGTGAAACAAGCTCTGTATACGAAGGCAACACCCACCATTAGACTCATAATATGAACCCAAAGTCTCAACCTCTATTCTGAAAATAGAGAGCTTGTTTAATAGATCCTTTTTCTTTCTCTACAAGCCCTCACTTTTCTCGAGTACTTCACACAGAGGTGGAATTTTGCATGGGTAATATAAATACTTAATGACTTTAGTGAGATTAATTATATTATGTACTAAACAAATACTGATATTTCTCTCATTTCCTCTAAATAAGGGCAGTAAACAAGACTAAATGTCTGGAGTTCTCAATCCCTTAGAGAATAGGAGAATTCTTTTTAATAATTATTGCAGGTTAATTAGCATATTAGCAAAATAAAATTAAGATCAGCAAGATTCATACATCAAGGAGATGGAGAATTAAGCATAGGCATAATGATAAGCCAGGCTATAGCCTCCTCCTGAAGAACTACAAAACCACAGCCAATAGTTTAAACAGCTTCAGCTAAAAGACAGCAATTTTATACAATATTAAGTCAAAAATGAACACACAAAAAAGTGTAATTTTTAGATTATATGCTATTAATAGAAGATGAAGAAAACCTTGGTAAGTTTCTCTTACCTCTCTCAGTGAGCTCTCAGTGAATTTCAGAAAAATTATTACAACTAGACTTCTCAAGAGACCCTAAGTTTCACAGATATCAAAGCAGAAAGCCAACCACATCCTGGGCTGCATCAAAAGAAGCATGGCCAGCAGGTCAAGGGAGGTGATTCTCCTCAAGGGAGGTAACTCTCCCCCTCTACTCCACTTTTGTGAGACCCCACCTGCATTCAGCTCAACACAAGATGGATGTGGACCTTCTCAGTCAAGTCCAGAACAGGACTACGAAGATGACCTGAGGGCTGGAGCACCTCTCCTATGAAGACAGTCTGAGAGCGCTGGGCTTGTTCAGCCTGGAGAAGAGAAGGCTCTGGAGAAACCTTAGAGCAGCCTTTTAGTACCTAAAGAGTGCCTACAAGAAATCTGGAGAGGGACTTTTTACAAGGGCAGGTGGTGACAGGACAAGGCGGAATGGCTTTAAAATGAAAGAGTGAATTTAGATTAGGTATTAGGAAAAAATTCTTTCCTGTGAGAATAGTGAGGCACTGGCACAGGTTGCCGAGAGAAAATGTGGCTGCCCCATCCCTGGCAGTGTTCAAGGCCAAGTTGGAAAGGGCTTTGAGTAACCTGGTCTAGTGGAAGGTGTTCCTGCCCATGGCAGAGGGGCTGGAACCAGATGATCTTTAAGGCTCCTTCCAGCCTAAAACATTTTATGATTCTGTGAGAAAACCAAGAATATAACTAAGTCTGTTGTATGGCAATGGGGGATGAAAAAAGGAAGGCTTCATCTGAACAAAGAATTTAAAACAATAATAAAATATCCTTCTGTCCTGAGTTCAGCAGTAGCAGTCATTTTTCTCCTTCGTGGTAGCTGGTGCAGTGATGTGCTTTGGCTTCCAGCCTGGGAACAGTGCTGGTGATACCGGTGTTTTCAGTTGTTCCTAAGTGGTTTACCCTGACCAAGGACTTTGTGAGGCTCATGCTCTGCCAGGGAGGAGGGGAAGCCGTGAGCAAGCAGAGACAGGGCGCCTGACCCAGGCTAGCCAAGGAGGTATTCCATACCACAGCACGTCATGCCCGGGGTGGGGGGTAACTGGGAGTTACCCGGAAGGACACTGGCTTCTGGTTTGGACTCGTTTCTTGGCCGGTGGTATTGTATTCTCTTCCCTTGTTATTTTCCCTTATCATTGTTGTCGTTGGTGGTAGCGGTGGTGATTTGTGTTGTACATTGGTTGCTGGACTGTTCTTGTCTCAACCCATGGGAATTGCACTCTTTCGATCCTCCTCCCTGTTCCTCCGGGAGTGGGGAAAGGGAGAGCCCCGGGGCAGGGGGGCCCTTGATTGCTCTCAGCCTGGCACCACTCACTGGGAATGAGTGAACAAGCTGTCTGGCTAGGGTTTAAACCACGACACCTTCAAATACAGGGAAAGTCCTGTGGCCTATTTACTACCCATCATAACTGTCATAGCAAAGGCTATGAACACTTGGAATAACCTGCTGATCAGTTTTCATACAGATGTCAGATATTTCTAATTAATTAAAAAAAATAATTTCAAAGTTCTACCTTCTGTTCTGTGTTGTTCTCTTGTCCACATCAGAAAAATATACCACATTCTCAGGTATAACTGATCTAGAAGTAACTGACAAAGATACTGTTTCTAAGACTTATTTTACTACACATTATTTGAGGCTTTACAAAGATGAAAGTGAAAGCTCTTATTAAGATAGGGTACCCCCAATCCAAATTTAAATATACCTCTTTTTGTAGGAGTTCCTCTCGCATCTGTGAAACTAAAAGGGCTTCCTGATGTCTCTGTTGTTCACCAATTTGTTCTTGCAGATGTTTTATTAATATCTACAAAAAGATTAAAAATAGTTTGTCATTAACATAAATACCTATAATGTGTGAAAACCTGTGCAGGAAAAATACACCAAAAATACAGCCAGTGTTGTAGTACTGCAGGTATAAATGATGCATGTATCAAGCATCCTACCTCTAACACATGTGCATTAATATACGCATTACTGTGTGGTTTAACAGTCACTGGTCACAATGTTGTTCTATTTGCTCTCAGAGTTGTTGCACTTGTTCTCAGAGTTGCGTTATATCACACCTTACTTACTGTATGCGTTACCTGCAGTGATATTTATCATTGTTGGGGCCTGAGCTAAAATTATAATTTTGTACTTAGGACTGGTTTATGATATGACAGAATCGCCAGTTGTGAAACTGATCTGTATACTCAGTATTGCCATCACCTCTGTAATTCGGGAGCCACCTATTGGGAACTGTTAATAATTACACCTTTTGTCTTCTGTCCTTTTGACCAACCTGGTCCTCTTGCTATGGACTAGCAAGTGCTGCACATAGTTCAGGTCTTGTTTAAGTTTAACTAACTACTGAAAATACCACCCAGAGATCTGCCCTGTGGCTGGACAGTCATGAGTGGCAGGGTGTGTGGGATAGTATGAACAAGTACTTAGGCCAGTGGGCACCTCCAGTGCTTTGGAACTTCACTCCTGAACAAGTGCAGAATCTGAAAAAACTAACAAAACACTTAGAAAAGGTTTGCTGTCCTCCTGGCAATAACAGAGAGGCACAAATTACTGCAACATGCTGGCGCCTATGCCTACAGAGCACTGCTTAACACTATTCAGTACTCTCAAGGGGAAAGGAAGGTCTCTGGATCTGATGGTAAAGCAGCAGACACCGTGGCTACTCCAACCCTGGCAACAGGGACTGCAGCTGAACCAGAGAATTAACCCATGCGCTTCAGTGCATGATAATGACAGCTGCTCCTGGCACAGTTGCCTGTGCTGGGCTGGATGTTCAAAGGGAGGGTGTCCTCTACACATCATGCAACTGATGCTACATGGAATAAGTGGGTCACACAATAAATTCAAATAGGAAATCCCAGTTGTTCAGGGATCTTGGAAATCATAACGGACTGGTCAAAGGAAAATATTTCAGAATGCCACCAGAGGAGAAGGTGATACATGAATCTGCCAATCAAGCTGGCCCAGCCCAATCAAAACAATTACATACTGTAGAAGAGGATAAAATTCCTGTAGTGCACATAAAAAAAATATGCAAGGGAGAACAGTCTGGGTTATTGCTACCTCAGACAAAGGCAAACACATTTGTGAAATTGTGAATAGCTTTTGCTAAAGGAGCATGGTGCACTTAGCGGGTAATGTGGTAGGATGGAGATGCCTTGTGTGTACCTCAACGGGATTTAACTTTGGCTGAGAATAACCAATGAATTAAACTGTATGATGTTAACTGCTATATTATACTGTATATTATCACTTCTCTGTTGGCTATATAGCCACCACTTTTAGTAATAAAGAAAGAAATAACTTTAGCAGATATCTATATGTAACGAATACAGCTACTCCACCTCTTGTGTTGAAATTTTGCTGCTCAATTCAGCTACTTTAGAAGTAGAATGCTCCTTTGCATGCTGGCAAAGAATCTCTTCCACTTCTCTCTGATGGGAAGCTTTCAGAGATGCAATGTATTCTGCTGTGTCTTCCTGTATCCTGAACAGAGTGAGAGAAAAATAGTAAGTAGTAAAGCAGCTACAGACAGTTCTCCAAAAAAAGTTTCTCACTTGAGCATATAAAATATCAAAAATGTTAAGGGCAGAATGTTTTTGAAATTTCATAACAAAACCTCACAAGAAAGCACTGGAAGGACAACACACAATGCTGGTATGTGCCTCATTTAACTAAAGGCAGCTAAAATATTTGGTCAATCATGATTTTTTTGCTCCTCTTATTAAAAAAGAAGAGGGAGAGAAAAGAGGTGCTTTTTAAATCATAATGCAGCTATCCTATTTCAGAACAGAACATGCTGCAATCTAAATAAATACACCGACTACGAAGGGATCTACGGGAGACCAGGCAAAGTGTAAAGTTTCTACAGTTGGTCAGATAAATCCCACTGAAAGCACACACCAGTTTGAGAGAAAGTATACGTACCAAATATCAAGACCATACAACACAAGTACAAAGCATCTAATATGCAACAACTTTACACTGAAATCTTTTTACTTCAAACCATGACAAACTGTAGTATTAGTAAGAGGGATTAACAGAAGTTTGCCTGTAGAATCAATTGTGAGAATGCACTGCTTTAAAAAAATAACCAAACAAACCCCAACCCCACATTCCCCAACCAAAACCAAACAGTAAAATGAAACTTACAGAGAACATTGGCTATACAGTATAAGCTAGCTTCACACATGGCTGATATGATAATGTGTCACTTCAATTCTGTATCAGCCAACAAGGTTTTTAAAGGAATATGTTGAGCATTTACCTTCGTATGTTATTTTCAGAATAAGCTATTGTTGCTTGAGACTTCACCCTCTGCTGGTTCATTTCTAGAGACAATCTTTCTAGCTCTTCTTTCAGCTGTGCATTTTCTTGTAGAACTTCCGAGAGATTACGGTCAGAAAAGGTATGTGGTTGGTATATTTTGCCATCCTTCAAAATGCTTTGAAAGGGTTTACTGTTGCTGGAATTCTTTTTATCTGTTGCTGAGATATTTTTTTTCAAGATCTCTGTAGAGTTTTCCTTGTTATCAGTTTTATTTCTCAAATTATTATCAGACAACATCATCATCCTTTCTTTTTGAAGTTTCTCTACTGTTTTTGTAAGGTCTTGTATTTCTTTATTTTTGGTGACCAGTTCTTCATTTAGTTTTAACAGTTTGTCTTTTGTGTTACCTTGTTTCATTTGAGAGTCTGTGGACTCTAAGTCTTTATTGTCTTTTTTACTTCTGAGTTTTAATTGGGAATTTTGACTTTTAAGGTTTTCAATTTCTGTCTGGAGGTTTTTGATGGTGATCTGATGGACCTTCTTCAGATTCTGAAGCTCCCGTTCAAGTTCTGTAGAACTGGCTTTATCACTGTTCAATTTTGGTGATTGGTCCATGAATTTGTAGGCAAGCAGTTGCTCAAGCTCTACAAGTCTTTGCTCATACTGTATCTAAGAGAGGGGAGGGGGAGGAGGGGAAAAAAAAAAAAAATTCAGTTTCCTCAAGTGTACTTTGTTAGCTCTTCCTATTCTTTTAAATTACTGCACATCTGAAGCAAGATTTCACAAGACTGCTCAATCAGTTTAGCAATTAGCAAGTGAAAAAATTATGTGAAGCAAACTTAAGTCTGCTGTAAAACAGGACTACTCAAAACATTTAATACAAAGTAATCCTCTGCTCACAATGAATGCAGTAACTATGGGAAAGAAAATTCAACTGACAAGAAATTATTTCACTTTTGTACAATTGAGTTATCTTCAGATGTTACTAAGCTGGGCAGGCAGAGTAACGTCTTCTTTGAGGATACAAAGAAGTCTTTAATTAAAACAAAATCTGTCATTAAGTATTTGCCATGTGCCAGTTTGCAAAACATCAGTCACATGCTCAAAACTGTACCAATCATTTTAAAAAACATCTTAGATTTTAACAGGACAGATCTTTACTTTTATTTAAGTTTGAATTCAGAAGTATGAACTCTGAGAGACACAGAATCTTTCTTCCTAATGAGCTGAGGAAAACCTAACTCTTCTTAATAGCCTTGATAGTCTCCAAGGAAAGCCTGATGCGTTATTCCCAGGAGGAACGACTGGACAATGATTTCCTTTCCTGCTCATTAAGTACCTGTGCAGTTCACCTTTTCCTTGAGAAGTGCAGTTTTCATGCTTCCTAACACAAGTCTTAAGATTTGCTATAACATAATTTTTGGATAAAATGTTTAGTATTCCCAGACATACCTTGCAGAATGGTCAGCAGACCTTTAAAACCACAGCCATTGGTACAGCAAGCAATTAGGTAAGCAGCTACTGTGACCCACTTGATGAAACACATGTATCCTAATTGTAAGAATTAAAATGCCTCAAGAACCTGTCCTCTCAATTTCAATAGTACTGTAACAGTTTCAGTGCTCTTTTTAGATTAGGTGCTGAATCTACTGAAATTCTAGTTATAAATTCTTTGAATACTTTTTCCCTTGAATGTGGTCTTTACCTCCAGTTTTTACCACTGGTCTGTGTTAGACCACAATAAACTTGTGACTGTTAACTTGCACAGCAGACTACCAAACAACCCTCCAACTTTTACCTTGACTTTTTGAAATTGTTGTTCCATGGCACGGAGACTTTTTTTAGCTTCATCATCTTTACCTTCAAGTTCTGTTTCTAACTTTTTTATTCTTCTCTCCAGGAAATCAACTGTGTTTGGTTTAGCCAAAAGATCATTAGTTTTCTCAGCAGCAGCAGCAGCAGCATAAATCAAAGCAGGCAAAGAATTTGGATACCTTCTTTTTAGAATTCCTTCCATTTCACTGATCTAGCAAAAAGAATATTAAATCAGAAGTCAAAAAGAAGAAAGTTCTAATGAAAAGTGAATGGGAATAACTGTCAGAATGCTAATAAATGTCACCCACTTAAGCTGAGTGAAGAAAGAAAACTAGAGATACGTATGTTGAGAAATTTTTTATGTTGTTTACATTTATGCTATTCTTTACAGAAAAGCAAAAATTATCATCTCTCACTGATTGACTTACACATCATTTTAAACAAAATACTGCTCTGGTGTTCAGAGTGGCTTATGTCAAATGGACATTTTATTTACTTTCTTAGAAATTAACGTATATAGCTCCTAATGCTGTTAAAAGTATTTGCTTTCTTTTCTCTACTTATATTCAAGTTCTAGTTTTCCAAATGTTACAAAGATTTTTTTTTAACAGTATTGAAATTATTCTCCTAGTAACAGATTATATGCCTTTTATTTTGGAGTCTGCATTACAATAAAACTAATGCCTTGCATGCAAGACTATTAACAAGCCCCTCTTACCTATGGACAAGATATTCTTTGCATCAGACTACTTGTAGAGGCTGTTTCCCATTTGTTTCACATCCCTACCAAATGTGGCTGCCATCTCCTAAAATTCAGAAAGGCCCAATTCCACCTGACTTTTCCTCAGTGGAAACAGTAGAAACATGGATTTTGAAGTGTCCACTCCCCTAGTTTTCATGAATCTTGTAGGAATCCAAACAACCACTGGAGTAATCTCCATGGGGAAGTGGTAGATTCCCCAGTGTTGGACACTTTTAAGATTCAGCTGGACATGGTGCTGGCCCATCTTGTCTAGACTGTGCTTATGCCAAGAAAGTTTGGACCAGATGATTCTTGAGGTCCCTTCCAACCTGGCATTCTATGATTCTATAATCTATCTGAAATAACGTTTAAATGAAATACAGTTCTATTATTGCATACTTGTCGCTCGAGATCCTGAATTCTTTTAGCATCTGCTGCTCTGTCTCGCAAACGTTTCTTCTGCGGCACACACTGACCTCCAGCTTCAGCTCTGAGCTTCTCCACCTATCCAATTTATGAGAAAATGAATTGAAATATATATTCAGAGACATTGTCCTGAAATAAAAAAGTAAGAATTTCAAACACACACAAAATAATGGAAATATTCTGCAACTTACGAATTGGCAATAGTAATTTCTAACTGAATCTTCAAGTTCTTAAACTAAGTTACAGCTTTTTTAACCCACTGAAGATCAAAGGAGCTGAAATGAGCTATGGAAATCTAGAAGAGACCTTCAGCTCTGAGACATTCTTGTCTTCAGATGAGTAAATCTGCTTCTTTGTCCCATATTTCTGGTATGCAGGCTTGGTTAAGCTATAATATAAAGTACTACAGTGCACTACATGAATTCAGGATGAGTTAAGGAAATAGTTTGTGATTTGCAAGGCTATGCTCTGTGATGAGATACAGAAACAGCCAAAAAGCAATTTTTGTGTTGTGCCTAAATAAATGCTGACTTCCAGGATCAAGGGATAGTCCTGGGAAGTGGGTAGCTAATGCTCCTGCACTCCCATAAAGTCTGGCCATGAAGACTCAAAGCTGTAATCTAAAATTGTATTTCCTACCTTTATGAGTCACTATAATCACTGTACAGGGTATTACACTTTGTATAGTTGGATTTTTTGTATATTGTGTATATATATACATTTTGATTTCTCTCATACATTGGCAAAGTAAGCATAAGCAATGCTTTTATGCCAGTGTAGTTTGACTAATTTGATTGTTTCTATGAAGTCAAAGCTTTTCACTGTTTTTAAACACCACTCCATCTTGGAGCAAATGCAAATAAAAATATTTTGTTTTACAGCAATAATATGTTGATCAAAGTTTGGTATGGTGGTATTTAAGGGATCTTGTTCCCTGGGGCTTCTCCTTCAGAAGCACATCCTTTCATCTGTGATCTAATAAAAACCCCATGAAAAGATTCCAAGATCAATTATATTTTATCACTGGTAAAATTCTTAATTTCTGTGAATCTCAAGTCAAATCTACTGACAAGCAATGCAAATCTCAGAATTACTCAAGATTCATGCATTAGGTTTGTTTGCTTTATTATTTCAAGTGTTTTGGCTTTTCCTCCCTACTACAGCATCCAGAGAATTTTTGTAAGAGAATCTAGAACCAGTACTTAAAAGTAAATGTTGTCTACGCTACCACAGAGTAAGGAGGAAAAGAGAAGGACAAGAGGGATGTTCCAAATTGTTTATGTAACAATTACTTTCTTTTCTTAGTAAAGAAATTTGTAGGTTTTAAAGAAACACATACTTGTTTCCAGAAGCATCATCAAGATGTCCAAGAGAAGCAAAACCAGATTTTAAGCACTCTGCACTTGCAACTCTCCCTGCATATGCAGTAATATCAATTTTGCATATAAAGACTCCATATTTGATTTAAAAGTTAAAGAGTTCACTATTTTTTTGAAAAAACTTGGATTAGAATGAAGGACAGAATTACATTACATTATCAGTAGAAAAGAAATAATTTTAAGTAAGTTCAAACATCAATAAAACAAGATGTTATCACCTCTAGGTTCAGTTTCTCAATTTCTTTTCTTGCATCTTTAAGACGGGCTGCATCTTTATCCAGAAGATCTTGATTTTCTGCATACCACTCAAGTTTTCTTTTCAAATGAGTGATTTCCTGTTTGTACGATTCTTCCTTAACTTTAAATTCGTAAGACTTCTCACCTACACAAATAAAATATCCTTAGTACTGTTTATTAGTAATTATGCATTGAAGAAGTAATTAGTCAACACTATCCTTCTCAGCACATTTCATACATTTACTCTTGTGACAATCCTGTTACTGCAGTAAAGTTTTAAAACCAGACCTAGTTAGGATTTTAAATGCAACAGTATTTGAAAAAATCTTTTTCTCTCATACATAGTAGTACCTCAGTGGTTCAGAGTTTACCATGTAAATTATTTAAAACAGAATCCCAGGGGATCTATTCTTTATCATCTTACAGTAAACAAATTTTCAGTAACATCATGGATGTGATATAGACTATAAGCTTAGATATGTATTGACTATGCTTCTCCCATTTAGGGATCAAGCATTTTGAGAAAAGACATGGAGCTAAATATTACAGCCCTTAGCATTTGTAATGTCTAATACTGGAAGTGAAAGAGTCCATTTCTCACCCTTTCTCATTAAGAAAGCTGAAGTCAAACTGGAAAGACTTCTGATAGGAATTTTGAAAAAAGTACTCAGGTGCAAGATACAGGTAAAAAAGTGAGAAAGATCTAAATAGGAAATGAAGATGCAGCATAGTAAAACTTTTCTTATGAACAGAGTTGTCATGTAAATGGAATTGCCTGTGGAAGATGGGACGGAAATCTAACAATATACAACAACAAAGAGTTTGGCTGGGTACAAGAAAAGGGTTTCTGACAGAGTGCCAAAGGTACTGTAGCATGTCATTCACTGAATGCTTTTATTAGAAGCTTAGTTAATATTTGGAAATGGTCTAGATGCACTTGACTAAGTAATACTTTAACAGGAAACAAGTTACCTGTTTATTTAGTGATGCAGAGTAGGCAAGATTATTCAACAAAATGAAGGTGCTTTACCTGATATGGATGCAGTCTGCGCTTTTGCTAAATCTCTCTCCTTCTTTGCTTGTCCCAAGTCTACCTCAAGAGCTTGCTTATCTTGTTTGAGACGTCTTATCTCTTCTTGTAATTTAGTTTCTTCCTTCTAAGTTATAGAGCAAATAGTAAGACAATAAAGAATAAGAAGCCATTGTCATACAAAAAATATGAGTAGTTTTTCCCTGTAAAATGATGAGAACACAACAACTGCATCAGAACAGAGCATCAGTGAGGTTTTCTAGTTTCTGATTATTCTCAGGCCTTGCTATAGCAGAGCATTCATGCACTCTGTTCTGTTTTTTTTATGTGTAATCACTGGATTTGTCTTCTGAGGGAAAGCTATAGAGGTATCACTAATTTCTGCAAGCTCTCACAAGATATTTCAGAATTGCCAATGAATGTGGCAACATTGCACTTCTTTCAGCGAATCTGCGTCTTATATGGGGTTATTTGTGAAAGTTCATTTGATGAGACATTTGTGATAGACAAGTGTAGCAAATAATTAATGTTGTAGAAAAGTAGCATACTCCCATTACTTAATTTACATTAATAGTCTACACCATGGATGGTTATGCTTTTTTAGTGAGAACGCATGAAAACCAGTCTTGGTATATATCTACCTGTGCTGCTCGAAGCTCTGAAATCAATTCTGTGAAGCTCTGATTTCTGGCTGGTTCAGAATCCTGCACGATTCGTGCCTGGATATTAGTCTTCTCTACCTTTTCTCTAAATGATAACAGCAAAACCAGTTATGCAATGTGGTGACTTGGCATAGTAACAGTGCTGTACTAAAAAAATCCCACCACCTCCAACCCAGCTCCCCCAGAACGGTACCATAAGTCAATCTATGCTGGCTCAAACTGAAGGAATAAGCAACTGCAGTTCATATTCATACCAAAAAAATTCACATATAAGGTGAAATCTTCTCACCTTACACAAACTTGTTTGTTAGGACTATACAAGAGTAGGGAAAAAAAACCCTGCTGTACGTCAGTGGAAGTCATCTACAGGAAAATCCCAAGCAAAGATTTGTAAATGAGGAGTACATGCAATGCTAGTTTTTTTCCTCATTACTACCACAGGATATAAATCTTATAGGATCTACACTGCTGTGAATCTAATGGTTCCTCCACTACCAGGATCCCTTATGGTCCCTGATCTACTGTGTATCCTATAACAGTATCAAAATATTTTGAGATGTGAGCAGAGCCGTATACATATACTACACAGAACAAGTGTAGTATATGTATTACACATTCTGGTTTGAATAAGAGTATTTGAATTTTAGCATTGAAATATTCCCCAGTGGAAGACTCTACAAGTCTTTAACATCAGCAAGAAGACTTATGAATTAAGTGCCCATAATAAACATGAGTTCTCAAAAAGAAAAACAAAACCACAAACTCAAGAAATACCAGGAAAAATGCACCTGATAGACTCTGCAGTGATTCTTCACAAATAAAATAATAAATACAGCTGAAAACTCATAGATTTCAGGTTAGATGTTTAAATGAGCCTACCTTAGAGCTATTAATTCAGACATTACACACTGATTCTCTTTAAACATTTGTTCCTCATTTTTTTTGTTTTGGATTTGTAGCTCTTTCATTTGTTTGTATAACTTCTCATTTTCCTAAGGTGAGACAGAAAAAGTTAAAGAATATTCATAAATTAGTTTTATCCAGTTAAAAAAAATTGGATATGATTTCCATAGTTTATCTACAGAAACAGTGGAGGAAAACACTAAATGTTTTATTACTGACTTTCTACAATGGGTACTTTCATTATCTTTACACTAAAGCAATTCACAGTGACCTCTACAGTCCTGTTCAAGTGCATACTCACTCTGGAGAACTAGGCATGTTCCTCTGCAAAGCTATTCCAACTATATTCTAAAAGCATATACATGCATGGGTGCTGACAGATCAGAGCTCAGCATGCTCATGCTCCAATCCTGTGGACACAAACCATTACCAATTTGGGATGCTTACAGCCATACTGGCAAGACATTGTGCCAATATCAAGAAATGCTGCCAAGCACCAGCTGGAAGCTGTTTAAACTAACTTATTTGATTTTACAGCTGCAAGTATTCAAAGGGATTATTATCTATTTCTACACCTGACTGAGTAGTAAGAATCAGAAACACTAAAAAGGTTTCCTTGAATTAATCTGCTCAGATTCTGTGAAAAACATCTTAAAAAGAGAATCCTCTAATATTGCATAAAAATACTACTTTTCTCTACGTTTAGGGCAAAAAGTCTGTGGTTCTTTATTGGCCATAAGGTACTTTCCCAGTTCGCAAACCTACAAGTCAGCATATTGTTACAATTCAGAACAGTTACATGGAATTATGGAAAAACTTAGCCCAACTAGACATGTGTGAAATACTTTTCAGATGTGCGATACGTATTTGCCCTTCACACCTAAATTTAATCCACTGTTCAGACGGCAAGGTAACTGTTTTCATCAGAGAAGGAGTAACCTTCTGTTACAATTCTATTTCTGAAACTGGCTAGAACACAGCTCAATACACTGTGTGCTGTACCTGTTGATAACCTTGAATAATGACCTCTTGATCTGCAATTTCCTTTTGTATTTGTGCCAGTTTTTCTTCAGTGACAGGAACTGTTGCTGTGCAACAGGTCCACCTCTTTTCTTGAGTCAGCTCTTCCATACTTCTTAACTTTCAGAAAGAAAGAGATACAGAACTAATAAGAATGCTGTCAGCAATATGGAATTCTTTACATGACTATACTTTTACAATGTAAATAGGTCAATCTTTTTACTAAGATATGAAAGCAGAGCAATGAGTCAATCTTATTATTGGAGATTTATATAAGCATTATGAAACAGGAACAAAGCATAAAAGGTTTAGAAGTTACCAAAGTTTTACCCTCCCTCTTCTGTTCTTATGTATCTAGACAGGAGGGCGTAGTCAAATAACCTTGGGAACATGCCATATAAGCAAAACACAACATTGAAAAATGCATTAAAAAAAATAATCTATATCTCAACATATAGGTCTTCTTCGTAACACGCAGTATCTGTTAAGAGCGAGTTAAATCTTTGCAAACAACTGCTGCAGAACTCTCCAAATAGCAAACTAAAGAAACTCAGGATAACATAGTTTATCTCAGTAGGAAAAAAACCCAACCCAACAGAGCTCTTATGAGCAAGAAATGTAACAGCAGGGATGCATTTTCAAACTGGCCATGTTTGTGTAAATCTGGATTTTCTACTCACTAACAACTCATGTCAAATAACAATAGCAGTGTTTCAACTGTTATATGGTAATGGGATAAAAGATGATAAAGTACCTTAGACTGAAGAACGTAGTTTTCCTGACCCAGCTGAGAAAGCTCTTTTTCATGCTGTGTTTTCAGCTCTACTATCTTTGTCTCTATTTCTTTCTCTTTTTGTGAAACTGTGATGGTTAGCTGTTGAATCAAATCACGAGCTGTGTTCAGCTCCTCCTCTGCAACTTGTACTCGTTTTAGCAAATATAGTTCTCTGTCACAACTCTTGATAGGAGAAAATGATAAATCCTAGTAAAGAGAAAATTCAGCGACCCATTACACTGAACTGATTGTTTATCAAAAATTCTGCTCAGCAATTGTACTTAACTGGCTTGTCAGCCTCTCAGCAACCACATAAGGTACTTGGAAATGAAAAAAAACAACCACCCCAACAACCCAATCCCCCCATTCCCTTCCCCCCAATATTTTAATTGCAGAATACTCTGCATTTACTTTAATGAGCTACTTCCTCATTTCTGAAATATGTATCAGAAAAACAAGCCACAAAACCCAACAAGAAATGAATGCTTCTCATATGAGAGGCACTATACAGCTACCAGAACTATCCTATTATGCATCTCTCTGAAAAAGGAGTAATGATTTAGGTATTCAATTAATAATTTTTTATACATTTGATAAGAAAGAAGGATAATCCATCATGATCCTGCAAATTTAGTCACCTTGGAGAAGTCAGAAGTTACTATTAAGTATTCAATGCAATGCAAAGAGAAAAAAAAACAAATAGTAGTGCTATTTAACATTAGTAGCAGAATACTTTTAAGTAAAAGATTCATTTAAAATTGTCCCCTTTTCTATCACAAAGTAGTAATTTTTAAAAATTAATAAGCATTCCAACCAAGTATATAGAACCACTCAAGTGATAAAATTATGCAAGCAACAAGAGTAGTATAATACTTGTGTATTTTAAAAGCAAAAACTAGTCTTTGACAAGGAAAGTCTTTATTCAGTATTTCAACATTTGCCAATACTGTGATAATTATTAAAAGTCTTGACAAAATAGGCTTGTGAACCAAGTTGTACATACTATAATTAGGAGCACCACTGATTATTACTTACATGGTGATATTGCATACAATAATCCATGGCCTGCTGTCCAAGATTATTGACGACTGATTTGCTTGACATAGCTCTGTTAACACTTTCCTTCAAAGTTGGTTCATTTGTTGTAGATCTTATTATCCTAGTAGCAAATAAGGCTTCTTCATTTAGGCAGAAAGTAAAATAGAACAAAATTAAATTCAGAATTTAATGTCTTTTCAAGAAAATCTATTCACATAATCCACCCATTAAGCATATAGCTTAAATATTCTAAAACCTGAATTTTTTAACTAAATATAGAAACCTGAGAGCAATGAGACACTGTGGAAAATGTTGCAGTTTTTTATTTTTTTATTTTTTTAAGTAAGCAACTGATGACAAGATAAAACAAAACCCAAAGGAACAAATGAAACAAGTAGCTGTCTCATAAATCCTTCATGAAACAAGGTTAACTTCAGTTCTCTGCTCAAGAAGTGGCCAGTTATCCAAGTTACAGAAACACAACACATTCCAAGCTATGAGGTAAGATAAAGTTAGACAGCAATTTGCAAAATGGACTTGAGCACAGACAGTGTACAAAGACATGTAACATTTATTTGTGGCATCAAATAGCAACTTGACTGGAAATTAAAATTAGGGGAAGCTCCTCCTAAAGAGTAGCTACACAGAACTGTTCTTAGTCTTCTAAAATGCAGATAGTAACTACAACTGCCCTTTCTCTTCTGCCTTTAGCAACTTATGCCAAGAGGTCCTGCTTAGGAATGTTATACCTGAAAACAAATAGGCAATGATCATTTTCCAAATTTAATACTTTTTACATTTCTCACACAATGCCTTCACAAAGGTGCTCCCTTAGCATTGATGATTATTAGGGGATTTTTTGATTTAATACCATTCTCTTCCTAGTTATACAAGTCCTACAGAATGCATCCTGGTGAAATTAACTTCTGAAATTACTATGAACAATGGTTATAGCTGGAGAGAGAAACACATGTTTGGATGATGCTATGGCCTCATTTTCTCAAGGCTCATCATTCACTTCACCACCTCATCTGGCTGAGCATCCTCCTCTTCTCCAGGAAGTGTCACAGCACTTAGTGCCCCAGCTCCTTAGTTTGACAGCTGCCACATCTCTCTAAGAGGGGCGACATAATCTTAAACTGCTTTTCCCAACACTACTTGCAGGGTTTTTAAGCACACATGCTAGAAGTGTGCTAAAACCTTGGCATCTGTAAAGTTATTTTCCCATGCCTCAGAGACTGCAAACACCATTGCAAAGATGCTAAACTGAATTATCTTATGAAACTCTTCAGGCCTCATTTCCCAAAAAAATGGTTCAGTCCTTGCATTCTCCTTTCCTTTGTGTTAGAAGTAACAGGAACAGAAAATAAAACTTTTTCTAGAGCTGTCTTTGTACTCTAGGAAAGCAAAAATAAGAAGCAGCAGCTGAGAAGAGAAACTGAGGATCACACAGACGTTTGTGTGTCAGCAAGTCTTTGCACTTACTGTAATGAAAAACATAACTCAGACATTTATTTTGAACAGCAGCTTTTCTACTGTTTTGGTCCTACAGGTAAACAATAGTGAAAACTCAAACCTAGTGGCAGCATCAGTGAATAGAAATGAAACAAGACTACACTGTGAAGTTTTATTTAAAAGTCTCTCTTCTAGCAACTTCATGCTGCTACAGAAATAATTCAGTACTTAATTGCATTTGGGTTAAGATTTCTTCTGCATTTTTCTTTTTTTGTTATATGAAGCATGAACAACAAAGCTCTCTGGCTCTTAAAACTCAGTCGTTTTATGATAGAATTACCTTTAGATCTTGATTTATCTGCAGGACTTCTGGCTTTCACATTGGTCTTTTTGAAAGTTTCTTTTGGTGTTTTCTTTTCATTAACTGGAAAACACTGTTTTGAGAGTGAATTGGGTTTCCCATACCCAGAACTTTTAACTACCCCATGAGTACCATAGGAAGATTTCTTTTTATGTATAGGTGCTGGACTTCCGATATTCTTGTATAATGCTGGTTTAGTTGTCATCGATTCCGATCTTTCATTCTTCAAGGAACAAGACCGAAGAGCCTGTGATAGAGCACACTTGTTTAAAATAAATTTTTGGCTCCAATGTAATCTGAAGGTAGCTTTCACTATTAAAAGAATATAGATTCTTACCAGATTTAAACAGCTGTAAGACTCAGGGTGGTGGGAAGCATTATTTTTAACCAAGTTAACAGTGTGTAATTTTACAGAATTTTAGTACTTTAGAAGTATACGTAATACAAGTAAAGCTCTGTTTAATTGTTCTGGGAAGTTGTATTACATTACAGGTTCCTTAGCTTACCAAAGCAGGTAGCTCGTGACTAAAGGCTAATCACAGTGAACACAGAAACCCAATGATGAAGAGAGGAACAGTGTCAGGCAGAGGAACCCTGCATAACTTGATCATCAAAAATAGAGAACACAGCTCAAGACAAGAAAGTAAGAAAGCTTAGCCTGTTGGCCCTGGTGGAAAATCCATCAGGATTAATCAGCCAAACAATCTCTCTCCCTGCAACACCTTGCAGACAGAAGAGGTGATTGCCTAAAGGAGTGTGGGGCTAATTTAGGGGATGCAAGGAGAAGAAAATTTGAGTATGCAGGGAGATTTGGAATTGTGTAAATGTTGGTCCCCAACATTTGAGTGGATCATGAGAATGTGCAAAACTTACAGGATATTTAGGCAAAGGACAAAAACTAGGTAATGGGAGCAATCAAGGTGGATCAAGTAGGAACAGATCTGGGAAACAGAGGGAAAATAAGATTAAAGAAGCTGGTGACACCACCAGGTTGCTGGTCAGTCCATCTGTGTGACTAAGCTGAGCACTGATCATTGCGGTCTCTCCTATATTCTTATTGAGTGGTGTTTCTACCTGCCATCTCTGTAAATATGCTCTCTGTTCTGAGCTTGTGTATGTTTACGCATACACTCCCAATGGGAACACGTGCTCAGATTCGCTACTAGCTAGAGCTGGGGACATGGAAGCACAGTAGCCTTGCATGTATTGGGCTGGGACAGGAAGAATCCTGCTGGTCCCAGAGTCCACTGGGTTTGGCTACTTCTAACAATAGCAATGGTACCAGGAGTTTCAAGAAAAACAGCAACGGTCTCCCAATCTCTAAACATCAGAGCATAATCAAATGACAGGCAGTCTAAAAATTTTTGTATTTAAAACTTATCTCCATATAATAAAAATCTGGCTGATACTACTTACTTGTTTAGTTTTGCTGCCTTGTGAAAGCAGAGAGTCTTGTACTATTTCTTCTCTTAGTACATCAGGCTGTACTTCACTGGTCTGAATTTCTTTCTCAGTCACTCTCTGAAGGTTACTGTCATTCACACCTGTCCGCACAAAGTTGCTCTCTTCCTTGTTAAATTTTTCAAATAAATTTGCCTTGCAAATCATATTATTCTGGTGCTCTTTAATGGGTGAACAGCTGCTGAGGTCATTTGCTGCGCTGCCTACCAGTTTCACAGGACTACGAGAGAATGGAATAAAGTCATATACAACAAGAATTTTGCCCTTTGCTTCTCTACCACTTCAGAAAAAGTGGGTCATTTTTTTCCTTAGGTATCAGCTGTACAGACTACTTGAATCTGAAAGAGCTAGTAGGCTTTTTTTAAGAACAACCTGGCAGATTTAGTTACACAGATTCACTTCCATGCTGTGGGACAAGAGCCATTTCCCAGCAGTGACTGCTTTTGTGGAAGTACCAAACTCGGCTACAAGATGAACGAACACCTGAAAGCATGCAATTAATGCTAATAAAACAATGAATGGTAATATCTGCTGGGTGCAGCTACATGATAAACTCCCAAAACTCATTGCTAAGCATAACCTATTTCTGACAGTTCAAGGCCTGTGTTTTCTGATCTAGACACAACAGCTGGAGCAAACCAGAATGAGGTATGGAGCACAGGTTAGTAAGATTCACAAGAATAAGCAGAATAAGAGGATTTGATCTTAGATTATGGAGGTTGGAGAGCTAGGATAGGATGTGGTCTGAAATCCATGTATGGGGGAGGGGAAAGAGCAGAAGACTGGAAGAGCAATGATGCTAGCTGTGGTAGCTATGAGACTGAGGAACGCTCCTCCAAGTGATCTGGCAAACATTGCTGCTTATCACTCAGACAGTTGGGGAATCCCCAGTATAAACCAATTTACATTTCACTGCATATACCATAATGCGACTGTAAGACATAACGAAATGTCAACATTTAACTGGGGAAAAAGACAGATGAGTTATTCTGTAAGCTGCTTTTCACAAACAGTTAATGGACTTAAGTTATTACAATTCTTAAAATGCATTCTGAAGTAAATACCTCTCATGCTCCACATCAAAATTTCTGACATTACACGAATGTCCTTTAATGGGTTTCATCAATTCTTCCATAGTAGGTAAATCTAATTAGCACCAAAACAAACAAACAAACAAACAAAAAAACTTAGAAAAAATATTTGTAAAAAGGACAACATTTAAAAACATTTCATAAAAGGAGTATTAAAAATTACTGGTTCACTTATTTTACATACTTGTACAATACATGCCTGCATTTGAGGTATTTACCTGATTCTATGGTTGACATGCCTTTTGAATAGACGTCATTATTTTGTGAAACACCTTGCACTATGTATTCTGAGACTGCCACTGCAGGATCGTGCAGTTTTTGCTCATCAGTGTCTCCCAAAGACTGATCAATATGACGGTATGCTTGGTGTAACGCTTCCATGTCACTGGTGGTTTGCTCATAGGAAGTGCCTGTGAAAAACACAGGCTCATAAGAGACACTACAGAATTTTCTGGTTTGGGAGACATCCCACTGGAGCCTGTGCTTCAGTTACTAGCTTGGTGTATAATGTTGTTATGAGAATAACGATTTCATTTGTAAAAAAATGTTTCAAAATCTCATTTTTACTATAAACAGTGCTGAGTTAATCAGCACATACTAAATAGTCCCATCTTCAGTTTACATGCCTCTCCACCCCCTTCAACTGCCTCACTATTTTATCAGTACTAAAACTAACAGCATATGTGATAAACTATTTTAACAGACACATTCAGAGTACAACTCTGGTGACAAGTGGCACACACTATTGTAAAAAAGTTTGGTAAGAGAATGTATTTTATAATTGTTTTCGATGCTGTCAAAGAAGAATTTTAGCTATGACAAATAACCAGAGGAAGTGATATTTCAATTCAAGCTGCAATGTCAAAAGCAACTTTACAATAACCAAGAGTAAAAAGGTATCTTTAGCAGAAAGATGACTTTCTCCTGAAACACTTCCTCCTCCTTTCAAGATTTGTTACTGAAAGCCAAGGGCTTCATGTTCACTGTTAGCCTAAGAACAAAGAAAGACATCAGAGCCACCTATTCTACCAAAGTAAGATTCTGAGAACTGTGTTTTGTTGTGTGTTTGGTTTTCCTTTTCTGATTAAAAAAAAAAGGGGGTGGGGGTTTGTTGTTTTAAAGCAACCCTTACCTGCTTCATTCATTTCAATTCCACTGACTTCTTCAGGAAGACGATGTTCACCTACAGCTACATCTGATGTTTCAACAGCCTTCTGAAGTTCTGTAGTTGAATCTTGTGAATCAAGTAATACAACTAAACTCAAGAAGATGAATGTTAAAGAAAACACAATTCTCTTATTTATACTCTATCTTCACTGCAATCAGAAGTATACCAAAGCTTATTTGATATCCTAAACATGCAAATAATGCCATTAACTGTAAAGTGATTAATTCTGATCGTAAGCATCAAACTCTGAGTACTGACTATATGTAAATTAAAAATTACATTGATGATCACTTTGAACTGCTAATATGCAGATTAATTTTTAACCTTTCAGTCCAACAGTCTTTCAAGTAGAACACAAAATTAAGGTGAAAAATACCAAAATAGTAAAAATCAGGTAAGCAAGTTTAAAAAAAAGTTACATTAAGTACTCCCCTACTGATCAGTTTATAGTTTACCTTTAGCCAGCATGCCAGCATTTACTTCTTCCTAACAAAAATAAAGAAAAAACAAATATTACTTTTTAAGTTTCGGGGTGGGGGAAGAAAATCTGGATGAACTTTAAAAGTTGTTCCAAAAATCTAAGCACAGTTCTTAGAACTCAGAGCTAAGCAGTTCTTCATGCTCCAGGAATATGCACTTGTCTAAAACTCCTCTAAGGATGCCAAAAGGTCTCCAATATCCTGTACTCTATAAACCCTCTCAAAAGTAACCAGGAGCTAAATGCTACTCCACATAAGGATATTTCTGCACTGCCTTGGTTCTCTTGTACTGTAATTTGAGAAAAGAAAATAACGTAGCAGTTGTTCTTTTCAAACATTTATCAGAATTACTATTCTAATAAACTTAAGAATTAAAAGCCCTCATCTATCTATTATAGGTGAACACGTAGTGCTCTACAGATTCTTTTCACAAAAAAAAAACAAACAAATCAGAACACATGCTCCAGGAATGCACCTGGTGTGCTCCAGCCACATGCGCTCCACATCAAAAGACCTGACTAAGGTAGTCAACAGTAATACTCTCAAAGTTCACACAGTGTAGATTTTGGGTCCTGCGTCCAATCTGCTTCTCTTTACCAAACTGCTTCTCTAAGTATTTGCTGGTGTAGATACCACCCTAGCAGCTCCAAAAGAGATTAGTTGCTACCCATTGTGAGGCTGAGGCTACAACCTGAGCTCATAATTTGTGCACTCCCATTCACAGTTCTTAACTCAAAGGCGGAGTAAGCAGGAAACCCTGTTAAAAACTTAATCCTTTCAGTGACTTATCATAACCATTGCATATCCTTACTAGAACAACATAGTCTCAGGACCACTATATTATTTTCTTTCAGACAGAACACATTATATGAAGGTTTAGTATATTTGTAATTATATACATTGCAGAGCTTTTACAATTCAGGCAAGTATATAAACAGTTATACCTGTTCTTGAGGACTTAAATCAACTCCTGAAATGATGTTTTGATTCATGTGACTTCCTTCAGTTTTAAAGGCAGGATCAGAATCTGTTTCTTCTTCAAAATCTTCACTGTAGCTGCCTGAAGAGTACAATAAACATCAAACAGAATGAATATTCAAGGAAGGTAAAGCAGTAAGGGAAAGCTATTTCCCTTCACCCAATCTAGGAAGAGCTACTGCCACTATTACTCATAAAGTGAAGAGAAAGGTTTTGAGACTGGACTTGATACTACTAGTAGTTTTACATGGTACCGTAAAACTACAGTAAAAGTGACACATAATGTCTGTGTATTCAAATGAAGTTTGTGTTATGATCAGACACACTTTACCTGTCTTCTCAAGGCACAACTGAATTGACCCTTTTTATTCTATGACTTTCACTAACAGGTGAAATGATGTAATTCCCTCCCCAGTAGACAAGGTACTCTGTACCTTGTCTTGACAACACCAGCAGTTAACCTTGACAACACCAGCAGTTTTTAGGCTCAGAATCTGTAATTCTGCTTCCCCTGACCTGCTCTAGTGGCCCAGCAGCACTCTCAAGAGTAAGCATTATTTAAAACCACAAGTGTGTCAGAGAATGAATTTTACAAGCAAGCCAAATGCTTTTCTTCAGTTACTTAGATCCTTCCACAAGTTTTGATTCCCTGTTGCTGTATCTCCTCCTACTCAGCTCCTGTTCAGTGTCTGCATCATCCATAATGCTTAAAACTAGAAACATTACAAAACACTGGTTTACAATGTGTTCTTTCTGTGTTCTGTCACTAGACACCTGACACACAGTTGATCTCATGTATAAAAACTACTCTCTGGAAAGGCACTGTATTTCAGCATTCTTTTTGGTTTTGGACCAGTCTGATCAGCTGAAAATAGCTTTTTCCTACTGACTGAAGACATACACAGTGCTTGTATCATTCCTGCACACATATTATCCACTTATTTCATTCATGAAATAGCAGTTTGACAACGAACAAACAAAAGCACACACACAACGCAGAGACTGGTCATAATGAGTATTTCATAGAAACTTGTTTTCTTAAAAACAGAAATGTCAATTTTATAAACTGACCATAACAATTGGGTAATTTCAACTATTTTGTTAGAAAAAAGGTTACAAAACTGTTGTAGCATTACTGCTATAATTATCATGATCCGTTGCGGCCTATGGAGTAATCAAGCTTTCAAGGAGAAAAGATTTCCTGTGATAATAGTTTACAAATACAGCCTCTTTATGTCTGGGAAATTCAAGCTTGACAATGGGGCCTCTCAAAGGTTCAGCTAAATATATAAATCTGAAGATATATATACTCTACTGATTAAATTACAGGAATACACTCTATCATATGCTAGCAATGAAGAGTGAAATAGAGATGACAAGTAAAACACAAATAAGCAAGATGGAAGGGGTGAAGCATAGTAATTTGTGGGAAAAAAGCAGGTTAAGAGTATTCTGCAGATTACAGATTAAATGCAGGTATGATAAGATGGTACAAAAATACAGATGACAGTTAAGACACTAGAGTAGCTCAAACATTAAGACTTATTTCAACATTAATTTTTCTTTATTTTTTTGATTGGCAATTGGGTTTGTTTTTTCTTTTCTGTTTGTCTTTAAGGTCACAACAGGTTAAAAAATCCATTTAAAAATAAAAAGAGAAAAAGAAAAAAAAAGTTTAAAAAAAATAAAAAAAAGATATCACAAAACCAAAAGCAATCCCCTAAAACCCTCTGTGTGAATAACAGTCACACCGGCATAACGCAAAAGCAGCGTAAAAGGCTGATGTAAGAACTACAGATAAATGAAAATAATTACAATGAAAATTACATTAGTTTTCAGTTAAATAAAAGGTTTACCCGCAACTGCGAGGGTGACATGGGATCAGAAGTCAACTGGTTTACATATTTCTCAGAACAAAAAAGTTCAGTGAGAATGCTGGACTCTCTTGTGCTTCTGAAATGTAGGAAGAGTCAAGTTTTCTGACTAGCTTCAAAGGGAACACAGGGTATAGAACAAAGTACAAGACTGTAGTACAGTTTCCTCTTTCCAGACCTCTAAATTACATCCCTCTACAAACTTATGTTTTCCTCTGACACCCTGCTGTGATGTTTTCTGAAGACTCTGCATTTGAACTGGAGCAATAATGCACCGCTTTAATTTCTGTCATTCTGTTTAATCAGGTTCTCATAACTCTTAGTGTACATGCAGCAATTAAAAAAAAAACAAAAAAACAACCCAAAGCAAACACAAAAAGAAACCCAAACAAAGCCCCAAAGGCAAGAATTTTCAAATGAATGATTGAGAAAGATGGCAGTACCAGATTTCTCTTCATGTGCAGCTTCCTTTTCTTTTTCAGTTTCTTCATTTCTGAGAAATGAAATGAAAAATTTACTCTTTTTGGTCAGCAAATAAATACAGCTTTTTTCAAACTCCAAACTTCAATACTTCTTACAATTAGCAATAAAAACTCAAATTTGTTCATCATATCAAGCCAGAGGTAAGAAAGGTGGATGAATAGCTGCAATTATTAAAATCAATATTTAAGTTTTTACAACTGTCCATAGTTAAAATTCTTAATCTAACTCTTAGAACCATTCCCTTTCTGCCTTCCCTCCAACATCTACATTAGCTTCTCAAAGAAATTTTTATCAGGTCTGCTTCCTGTTCTGACCTTTTCACTGCATTCTAGAAAAAAAAAAAAAAATCTTTCCTTTCTTCACCCTTTTCCTGTAAAGCTAGTTTTGTCCTTACTTAAAACTCTCCAGATTTCTAACCCTTCAACACCTTTCACATTGGAAGTTGCTTCTGTGCGCAGTATTTTTTAGCAACAGCAGCCTGAATTGCCCCTTGATCTATTTCTCTCACGTTTGAAATTATTCTCACATAACTCATTATAAATGAATTGCCCTAGTCTATGAAGATTTTGTATCCTTCCTCCAGACTAATTTGTAACATAACATCCAAGAGGACACAATCTTTGGTGGTCTATTTCCTTGTTATTGTCAGTTGTTAACTCTTCAATTAGTTACACCTTACAATTAAGAATGTTAAATTGTTTCTATTGAGTCATGTACAAGAATGCAGTTATTTCCACTCATCACCAAGTCACGCTCCCACCTTACTCCTTTCTTTTACTAAGCTCATGTCTGTCCTTGCCTTAAAACAAACAAACAGAAAACCCTCAAAAACCCTAGACTATAACAAAAACCAAAACCTGACTGAATCATACAGGATGCTGTCTCACAAAATCTCACTGGCCATACCCATCACATATGCCCACTAATACAGTCCACAATTTTTCTTCCCTCTAAATTACCGTAAAAATGGTGCTAGTATGACAGAATCATTGGAATCCAGCTCTTTATTTAATCTTGAATAATCAATAGTAGAGGAAGCTTCTCGTTCAAGTCTGGCAAAGAACATTTCTTTTTCTTCTTGTTCTTCCAAGGTATCCAATCCAGCTCCCACGATACTTTGATTAGGCTCAGAAGCTAAAACTGAATCTAAATTTCAAAACAAAGAATAAAATAACGGCATCTGTGCTGTATGTTCACATAGAATAATCATAATAGTTAACACAACTATAGACAGACTCATAAAATATTAACAGTATCAAATTATCAAAAACTAGTACTAGGAGCCTTCAGTTCATGAGGTGCAGCTGGCAGAAGTGACGAATCTGAACTTGCAGTGAATTAAGGTGAATTGCTTGCAACAGTAACTAATTTAAATCTATCTAACTTCATGAAATAAGTTGTGCTCTCAGTTCTCACCATTTGCCTCCAGGCTGACTCTGCTTAAGGAGACAGCAACCCCATTACTTTTCTCAAGCTGCATCTTTTCCACGTGCATATTCTCATAACTCTCTCCCTTAGTCTGTGAAGTGTTCTGTATCTTTACAAAGTTTCTACTGGTTCCAAGCATTCCTAGGAAAAAAAGTTGCAGCATTCTGGATTAACATCTAAAAGCTATTTTTACAACACTTGAGTCTTTCAGTCATCTTCCAGAACCACCAATTTTAATCTTATGTTGCAACCGCAAAAATACAGTCTCGTAAATCACATTCATCCAATTTCCACTTCTACTATGAGATATGTAAATCTTGTTTAATTAGAATTAATTGGGCTATTATCTTCCTATCCTTTGTATCTGCACACAACCCTAAAGTTCATCATGGGACAAATACAGCAACTGTAAAAATTGACTTACTTTAATGTTACTCATAGAAAGGAATCACACACACAAACCCTATGGAGAACTTAACATTTCTTTGTTTAAAGCCTACTCATTTTGTTTGATCTACTATCCCGGAGAAAGCACCACAGATTTTTGAAAATTGTAGCTTAGCAGCTACATTTCATTTGTTGCAAATTAAATGCTTTAAGGAAAAAAAAGTAACCAAAGTTAAAGGTCACTGACAAACACCCATTCTGTATATTTATGCAACTACAACATGCAGTTGCTCTCTTTAATGTAATTTCAGTGTTGTGAAGGTTCAGAAGCACCTTACCAGCTTCAAGAGTGAATTCTGCTCTCAGACAGAATGCTGCCTTATCTACTTCCTTTTGGAAAACTAAAAGCCAAATATTGCACATTACTGGTTAAAAAGCAGCACCAAGTCCCTTCTGCCTGCCCCTAAAACACACATTAAGATTCTTGAAAGGTTCTCTTAGAAAAAGACTAGAAGAAAAGCTTCTTATGCATTTTATCCAATGACATATGAAATAATTTAACAGCTCTCACAGAAGGGAACAGAAACCATGTCTGTCTTACCCAACATGAATCTCCAGTTGGTAAAATAAACTCAGAATTTCTGAGAATGTCTGGCCAAAAGATTTTTAGACTGTAGCTGTGTCCTTGTGCCACACATACCAGGAGGGGTAAAGACACTAACAACAGCTCATTTCCTGCTGTCAGGAGACTGCAGGAGATGGGTACATCAGTAACTCTTCAGTTGAAGAACACTAACCCAGACTTCTGCACGCTGATAGACTGCTTCAACTCCAGCCTCTTACTTCCGTTACTTTTGTCCTCTCTACAGGTCCAACCAAGTCACTTTTAAGAAATGACAGTTACCTTTATCATGATAATAGAGAATTCCCTCCCTTCAGTACTGAAGATGTATGCACAGTGAGGAAAGTAAGAGTCTGAACACCTTGTTCCTTCCCCACAGGCATGTGCATTCTGATTACACAATACCCCTTGTTAGGAAGTATTTTTTTTTTCATTGATTTCAATGACAAAGTCCTCTTGCACATTTTACTGGGAGGCTAAGTGCACAAGATTCTACATCTTGGCAATTACTTTTACATTCCTGTATCTGACTTCAGCTCTGTCCTTGATACAGAGCTCTCACTGACTTGCCTTGCATACAACAAATAAATGCTAGAGACACTAACTAAAGGTCAAGCTCTACATGTACACTAAGTTAATACCTAAATAAATACATTTTGCTACTACACTGAAGAGTATAAAATGGAATGCTCAAAGTGCCAAGCAGAAGTGGAAAAGTACAATAAGTCCATTTGTCCAGTAACTAGACAGTAATTCAAATTTACTCAGATGGCACTCTATTCTAGTTATCAAGACAGCAAACTGGAGTCTGTTTGCAGCTGGGTCACAAGTATTTTTGCAGAGTTTTAAATTAGCCATAATCTCACCGGACCTCCAGCACCCTATTTTTTCAATGAGAATATGTTAGCAGAATCAAAGATAAACTGACACTGTCGTCCTGTAAGCTTTACCAGAAAGAAGATGGGCATATACTTCAGTAAAAAGGCAGTTATAACATTTAACAGAACAAAATTTTAGAGAAAAACATTTTCCCGAGCTGTTTCATTTAAATTATCTCAAACTCAATGAACTTTCTGAACAGACTTACCCAGACCTTGAAGGCTTCATGGGATTTATGTAAGCTATTTAATATTCTTTCAGAATTTTAATTTTGCCAGTTCGAACCAAACCAGAGCTTTTTTACCTCCCATAATAATCTGAAAATCAAATAGTTTTGCAGCCTGAATTTTGCCACTCAGCTACACTCAATTCCCAGACACCCCCCTGAATTACAGGGGATTGGATGCTACCATTGCTAACAAAGGCAAGAAATGTCTTTTTACTAATCCTACACAATCTGAACTCTGAGAAACCTATCAAACCTGGAAAAAAATATCAACTTGGATAAATTTCAAAGTCTCTGTTCACTGTGTTTTTTGGTTGTTTGAACAGTCCTACTGGTTTCTGTGGGGCTTCCAAGAGTGATTTATTTGGGGGTGTACTTGTTACTTTTCATAAAAGCTTCCTGAAGCAACAGTTGTCTTCAACTCGGAAGATGTCACTACTCATACCTTCACATGTAGTATTTTGTGAGGCTAATGATACACAGCCACTTTAAATTTATTAAAATAAGAACCTGAGTTTCAAGCAGGAAAATATTTCCAACCACCACACTTGCAGAGGAAAGTTTAAAAACATAAATACAAAGGACTCAAAACCTACAGACAGTAACAAACATCTATTTAAAAAGTAACTTTCTTCCTACTTAATCTGACTAGGACTGTCAGAATTGAGCCATTTTGCCTTTTCAGTATCACATAAAATACAGTAAATTTGTTACCCTCCAAATTGTCTGGACTGTCAGAAGAGAGGCTTCCTTCTTCTCTGTTTAAGTACGAATCTTTCTTTTCCTTATGAAATTTTTCCAGAATTTTGAATTTAGACAAAGCCTTGCTGCGAGATGCACTGGAAGAAGGTTTAGGGGGAACTACTTTTAAGTGTACACAAACATTCATAAAGTTTTTATATGTAATGGACAGGAAATAGAGAGGGAAAAAAAAAGATGTGAGAATTCAAATTGACAATTCTGTAAAAAAAACCCAACAAACACCTCAGTTCCGTTTCTTGTAATTTAATTATTAATAATTTTCAAGCTATAGCTAATAAGTTAATACTTGTAACTTCTGAGAATAAAACTTTCTTGTTTTAATTTTTAATTAAAAAAAGACAAATTCCTTCCTGCTCCACGTATACCTTGCATTCAAATACACTGCTCTAGGAGCTCAATATACTACCTGAAGGAAACTAGTAAACCTACTTAAATAATAAAAGAAGCTTTATACTACAAGTTTTGACAGAAAGCATCTAAATCAGCTCGAAGTGGAAAAACATGGGTAGATAAATGTGCATTACTACTGTCTTTATCACTGTCAGGTACAAGAACTGCATGTTGTTTGCTTAAACCCTTGTGAGGACTTGCTTAGCAGCAAATACAACCAAGCTTCCATTCACATCAGTAAAATTTTTAGAAACACTGAAAGCTGCGCTCTCTCATGATATTTAGATGAGAGTCACACTATACACTTTATATGCCTTAAGCTAGCACTGTATTACTTTTCCTTGTTCAAATTGTGAGGGTGAAGGAGGCTTCTGAATTGCCTATGTCAGAGAAAATTCTCAGTTACAGGTCTTTTCAATTTACCTTGACACAAGGGAGAGCAAGAGTAGTCTAGGACATGAGGCCAAACACTTCTATCTAGAACCAGGACTACTGGGACACGTGACCAACGGTAACACATCTCAGAAACATCCAAGATGACTAAAGAAAGCCGGTGAGCAAATGACAGTTGCAGTGCAAAGAGAGAAGCAGTATGAAATCCATTCTGATACAATGCATAGGTCCTTTATTCCCTCAGCTGATGTCCAGGTTCACTAGTGAGGCATCTTTCTCTAGATTTATTATCCCCAATTTACAGGTAAACTAAAAAGCGTCAACAGCTTGCCTCCTGTTGTAAATAATGCAAACACCTGATGCCTTTTAAAACAGTAATTTAAAATAACCACCAAAGTCCTCCTATTGCTCATATTTCAAATATTAAGCCTAATTCAAGAAACAGATTCAGTGCTAGTGTTTATCTCCCAGACTGAGATGCTTTATAGCTATTCTATGCACATGAGGCTTACGAAAACAGGACAGCATACATGCTCTAGAAAGCTAATACAGGGGAACATTCTATAGGTTGTGTAGGTGATCACCAACATGAACTAAAGGCCAAGTGCCAAGTATTCCTTTGTCATAGCTCTCCAAAATATTATTGATCTCCTTCAATTCAACGCCAAAACCATGTTTGAACTAGTACATACACGTTAATTGCTATTGTCATTTACACAAAAGTATTTAAAATATCAAAATGTTAGAAGTCTTAATTATTCCTTGGAGTTTCTCTTCAGATAGCACAAAAAGTGACTACACATAAAAGCCTGAATCTGAAGTTACGTTGACTAAAATAATCCTGCAGATCAAACAACTTTGTCATTATTACACCAACTGTACTGTTTCCATTCCAGGGGCAGCATGCATACAGCAGCCTTCTGGTCAGCAGAGGGAAAAAAAATAACATAAATAAGAAGAATACTTATTTTGACTGCCGTCTTTGAAATTAAAGAAGTAGAACAGTGAATATGAATGTTTCTTGAGTATGAAATACAGAAAGTGTAAGAGATCTTCTTTGTACTAAACATACTGATTTTTGTTCAGATTTTCAAAGTTATCCCTTCCCCCCCAGCTTACAGTCATTACTGTCTGTCCTACTACATCACTGTAGGAAGTGATGTAGGATGTAATGACAGCTGAACAAAGGTTCATACATTTGTTAGTTTCTTCTTGAAATGACAAATGAAGTAAGTGGCAGCTTGCTTTCAGTAACAACACTATGGTCAAATGGACGATCTGCAAAGGATTTTCTACAGGAAACGCACTAGATGCACTATATAAAGCTGATACTGAAAAAATATGGCAAAACATTTAATCAAATACCAGACTGGGAATCTGAATGGGGACTCTTTTGCTCACTGTTTTCTGCTATTTCAGCATGGCTTTCCATCAGTTTCTTCTCTTTTCTCAGTTTAACAAATCTTGTTTGAAAATCTTTAAAAAATGAGACAAACAGCAAGAACAGGCAGGCAAGCAAGACAAGACAGGAATTCTTATTATCCAATTTCTTTTTTATCATTTAAACGACAAAAACAAGTAGAAAGGACATCAGTTAGAGGTAGGTCTTTAACCTGTCAAATATGGAAGACAGCATCTTGAATCATAATTTGCACATTTCAGTTTAAAGCTGAAGAACAAAGAGTTCAAACATGCCTGGAATAACAAGTGGAGATATGTTAAAATGTACCTCCTATTTCTCAGCCAAATGAACAGAAATTGTCTACACTGTTTACGATTAATCTACAAAAAAATGAAAACAGGCTATTAGTTCAAATCCCTAGCTATTTCCTGGCACTTTTTTAACAAGATGCCTTGCAAAAAAACAGACAACACATAAATGTAGAGCATGTATTTAGTCTTCTAGTCATCTCTCTTTGTGTCTGTCAAGAAGACACGACACGATATAGATACCAAAGTAACTCAAAATGAAAACCTCAAACTGGAAACAACTTATCAGCTTGGTGCCTTACTCAAGATGATTAGCCAGACTTTCTTAATATAACAGCATCTCTACACAATGCCATCCAAACACATCAACTCATACACAGGAGCAAGTACTTGCAATGCAGTGCTGCACTGTGGGTGGAGATAAGATTCATACAATTATGTAAGTTTGACTCCAGATGAAAAACATTTTAAATGTAATTATTCTATTAGATGACAGCAATAAAGTCCTATCTGCAACCAATATGGAGGTTCAAGTCTAGAAGAATATACAAGGATCTCCACAAAATGTCAAAGCGTGCCACCATTACACCTTACAGAAATGAAATTCAGCTTATTGGCATATTTGCTATCATCACAGTAATATTACTTTTTCCCACAGGACAATGATTTTGCTATTTAGGGCACAATTAATAACCTTACAAAATTCTACAATTCTAAAGCATCATCTTCTCTGTCATCCCATGCTGAAGCTTATATTGCAATACTGCCATGCCTTCATCCATTATTAATACATCTGAGCAACATACTTCGCAACATACACCTGCTGAAGAATATTAGATCTAGCAAAACTATATTTAATGAAGTACTTCGAAGCACACAAGACAAAAAGACACACAGAGGAAACAAAGAACAGTTCTAGAAGCCTATCCACACCGAATTCCTTCCAGCCACCTGACCTGTCATTTTAAACCACTCCAAGTTTATCCACATGACTTGAAATCGTAGCATAGTTTGTAGTGCGTACACATGTATAAATTCCCCTTTATATGTGGGATTCATCGTTCTCAGTTAAAGCTACGTAAAAGTTATCTACTATCACAGCTGCAGAGGAACATTCAGTTCATACTGAAGGCAGCTTCAGCAAAAGGCTCTCTTCTCACTCTAAGTTAATTGCCCTACAACTAGACATTAGTTAGCAGAATGGCATTCATATTACAGACTGCTTCTGTGCCATGCACTTCCTAATCTAGCACAGTTTATGTTAATACAACTGCTACCATTAGCGAGTGTCCAGTGTGGCAAATATAGTCCTTTCCTAACAGGATGATACAACCAGGAACCCTGCTTCATGCCAGAGTTATTTTCTTCTCATCAAGATAGAGCCTGGAAAACCCTCTAATAAAACTTAAAGGCCTCCCTGCTTGCTAATATTAAAGTATTATGTGGAATATGGCTTACTGCATGTGCCCCCAAGCACAGAATTCTATGCAGAATGATGACAGGTGTAGATGAAATAAAACTAACAATCTGGCAAAAATGGTGCTCAGGGAAGAATTCAGTGCATAGATCTAGAATATTTGGCCTATATTCTTGTACTCTTAGTTTCATTATGTACAACTGCCAAGATATGTTAGCCCTTTGATTCGCAGATTACTTTCAACTCATGCAGATCCTCATCAAGAATATGTATATGAACAGCTTCTTTTGCAAGCAAATATATTCAACACTGGCAAAACTGGGTAGTCCACGAGCTGAATGCTTTCCTCTTAAAGGAGAAGCATTTTTTAAGAGACCCCCTAAAAAGTTTACCAGAAGTCTATTTTATATGCCAATAAACTGCATATCAAGCATGTTTCAGTTCTTTATCTCTGGTTAAACTACACAGCTAATAAGATATCCTTAATTTAAAAAAATAAAAGAGGTGGAATTGGTTTGATGGGAACAACCTGATACGATCATATTATGTCTTCTGATTCTGCTTTGCATTGTACTTAACCCATACAAGCACTGTTCTCTAAAACTTGTAATCACCCAGCCTTTTAAGTACCTATTCCAGTGTGTTTTGGTTTAAGCAGCCTGAGAAGCAACAAAGTACTTTACGGGTTACCTCAGGCATCTCAGAAAAAAACATGGAAGAATGATGAAATTCTAAAGTCACCTGAAAATTTTCTTTGATAGTATGTAAGAAGTGAGGTCATGCGAACTGCTTAATTCTCACACTTTGCCCAGCATGAACACTCTGTCCTTTCATTTTTGGAAAAGCTGTAAGGAAATCATAAAACCTCATAACTACCTGATAGAAACTCTATCATATCCAAGTTTTCCAGCAACATTTTAAAAGGCCAAGGACAGATAAGCAGTCCATACAATGGCACAACTGCTAAGATTTCACCCCTAATATGACAACACTGACAGAACACAGCTGTAATATCTGAGACTACCAGCAGTATCTTAACTCTGTCATATGAAAAACTGATTTCTGGAACTTTCTGTTAAGCTCCAGCTGTAAGTTATACAAATCAGGAAAATAAGAAGCCACCAATTACTACAAGAACATGAGACTGTCACCCTGTAGAAACTAACTACTCATAAGCTTTATTACCCAGAAAAAAAAACAATGAAGAAATCGAAAACTGGAGGTGCAAAACTTCCAAACAATAATATATTTTCTTCCAGAACTATGTGACCAAGTCAATATTGAACTAGCAATCATGTCATCACTGCCTGTTTCCCCTTAAGCCATGGTTCTTGGCAATGAAAATGTTGAGAATACTGACAGACATACATCTCTGAATCAGCTGCTGTTGAAAAGTTTTTCTTTGCTTCCCCAGCTTATTATAAATGTTGCAAATAGTGTAAGTTTATACAAATTGGTCTTTTTCCTTTCCTCTATTGAAAACAGAAATCTATAAAAGTCAGTACAAAGAACAGGCTGGTTACAAAACACACCTACAAACTTTTCTGCAGAATTCATGTTATATTTTTTAATTATCTTACTATTTATAATGTGTTTGCACTTTACAAGTTTTAGTAACTTGGAAGCTACAGAAAAAGCCTGCAGAAAACTTGCTTACAGCTTGAATACAGTCCCTTTAAAAAAAAAAAAACAAAACAAACCCCAAACAATTTGAGTTTTATACTTTACAAACATGCATTTAGGACATTGTATAATGTTCTATAGCACTTGAGTGACACCAACTTAATCTGAAGCCAAGCCTATATGAAGTATGAGAAAGAACTGACCCCCTGTGGCCAAAATATTGCAAAACTACATTATTTACCACCATTGTCTGAATCTTCTTCAGATAGCCACCACAGCACAGAATCCTTTTTCTTTGTTTCTTTTTTCCTGGGCTGTCCCAATGTCTCAAGAATGCTGGATTTTTTCTTTGAATTTTCAAGTGAATCATCTGAAAGAGACTGAGTCAAATGCATACCAGATTAAAGACAGCTTTCACATTTTCACATTGACTGTCTTTCAGGCACTCAGTTCTGGACTTTGAGCTCAGATGCTTCTCTTTACTCACCACTGTCTGCCTTTTTTGTATATGCATGACAAAGTTGAGTAAGAAAACTATTTTCATGTGGCATAATACCTCATGTGATAATAACCCCATTGCCAGTATTTGGGTATGTTAAAAGTTAACTGCTTAGTAGAGTATATGTTCAAATGAACAGCATAATCTACACTTTTTCATTTAACTACAACATACAAGAATCAAAATCCTGACTATATCCCTAAAGATAATTCAGTAGAGCAGAAAGTTTTGCGTTGGCCTTGCTTTGTACATGAACAATGTTACTAATATTCTAAAAATAAGTCTTCACAAGTAACATTCCAGCTCCCAGCAAATCGTATTTCAAAAATTAATTTTATACTTTGTGTTCATGGAAATTAACAGAAATGCCAGAGCCATTCCTACCCAGCTATGTAGCAAACTTTCATATGTGTTAGTCATCCACACTGATTTTAACTGATGGCTTAAATCAACAAAGCAAAAGTCTACGAGTATGAACACTGTATGAACTTAAGTTACTGAAGAGTTAGCAGGAAGGAAATGACCCCCACACTCCTCATGAGACAACAGCACTTTTCTTGAAGTGATGAAGCTTTTTTTTTTTAAACTAATCTCTGCTCTTTTCCTCACAGCAGGCCCAGAGCCACAATTAGCTATCCAGACACTGAACAAAGAAATATATTCATTAAGCTAGTGCACTGCAAACTTACATGCTGCTTTTTTTTTTTTTTCTTGTGCTTAAACTCAGTAAACATGGGGTTAAGGAAAGGGGCAGACTTTTTATCTAAATTTTAGCCACAATTGTTGAACCCAATTGTGTATAAGTGTCTTAAAGAACACAATGAACAGAGTTAACAAAAAGCCATAAAACATAAAAAACAAAGAATTCACATATGAAATGCACCACATGTGGAAAAGTTCAAAACCTTTTGTAATAGTCCCAAATAAGAAAATTTGATAGTATTAACAGAATACTAAAGCCAACAGGATTGTTGGTACTTAATATGTAAAACATGATGTTTTATTAAAGCAAGCCTCTGCAGTCCACTGCCCGATGCCTATTACATCAAAAGCACTACCATTAAAACCTATCTTTACTATATGCCTAACGTTTCAATTTATAGGGGCCTAATAAGAACATCCATAAATCAAATGCCAATTATCGAGAACTACCATATAAGAAAATTATTGTGACTATCTCTAACCAGTAACATCTTTAGAGCTTATCATTTCACTTGAGAAAACTAAATGCCTGTCACACTCAGTAAGAAAATTTAAGTTCCCTGAGCCTTGCATTTTAAGAAAACACAATTCTAATAAATTATAAAACTGCCAGACAACAGGATATGCTGCAATTTCTTTCCATTGGCTCAGTGACATAGAACTGAACAGCCTTACATTCATAATAAATGTCCTATAAATAACACACTAGTCACAAGTACGAGTGTCACTGTCCCTGAAGGCTGGAGTGCCTCCTGCTAGCTAGAAGTACTGACAGGTGCTTGATGCAAGCTCTATTATCACTTGCTGTTTCTTTTATGACTAACAGTATCCTCTCTTTTGCAAGCAGGATTTCAATGATCCTCATACTCCTTAGAGTTTTGTAACTAAAGAAACTGTAACTCCCACAGGCTGTTCCCAAGTTCTGGAAACTTTCTAGGCCCAGCCATCTTGTTAACTGCAAACAGTAAAGTTGCAGCAGCTGGGAAAGAAATTCAGACACAAAAATACTAGTGCATTTTCCCCAACATCAGCTGTCTCAACAGCTAAACTTACAGACTTTGTTCTTCCTTTGAAAAAAGTAAATAAAGAGATTGGTTCATTTATTTGGCCCAGTAATGGCTTTTCAGCACCAGTAAGTGCCACTGATTTCTTCCTTCCGCTCCTCTATAAAACAGCCTGTCAGCCTTTCAGGTACACAGACACAGAAAAAGAAGAAAAAAAGTGGCAGTTGCTTAATCTTAACTAAAAGTAAAAAAAATAAAGCGAGCCAGTTTTAACAACTGTGACAATTACACGGCACATAATCAGCTTACCACCTCCTATACACATGAAGAAACTTAAGGAAGTAGACAGGTAACACAGGATTGGATCTAAACCACTCAAACATTCATGATCAGTTGTCCTAATTATTTCATGAAGTTTCTTCAATATAACTCCGAATGATATTTTTAGTACGCAATTATTTTTAAAATATATTTGCTCTTCTAATAAAAATGAAAAATGTTTTTCAAACATGGTTTAATGTGTAGTTTTACTCTTCCAGGTACTATTCTATGGATTTCCTAATAAAGATGGTATAGCCTTTCCTTCTGAAAGTCTTCCTCCTCAACCACCCATGAATATCAAGCCAAATAAGCCAACCTAGAAAACCAGAAGCAGGCAATGGTTTTTTCATAACTTGGCTTTGCTTGAAGTGTCATCAAATAAGCAATTAATTGAACCACTGTGTATTAGAGCAAGCTTCTCATGCTGCATGTCCCAAGGGAACTTCATGGCCAGCATTCTGAATCCTAGGAGCTATACCAATGACAGACGATGCTTAAGGGAAATTAAAGTGACGAAAGAGGAAGCATACTAAAGCAAGATACTGGTGGTGGGGAGCGGAAGGACCACCGGCACACAGACAATTGAAGAGGAAGAGAGAATCATGGATGACAACAGGCTGTTCTGGCAAGGGGTTTGAAATAAACTTGACCAGGCAGAAGGAATCATTAGAAGACCTATCCTACATAAAGCAATTGTTATCTCTCATTTGTGTTTCCTTCTGTATATTTACAAAAGCCTAGAAACCCCTCCTCACTGATAGCTTCAGTGCAAATGCCAAAAGACTTTAGTTTAATCCCCATATTAGACCTGCACCATCCAAATGTATTTGCAGTCTTTCTTATAACTTTATACATTTTAATCAGAAATGTACATACAACCCCTTCCCCCTGAAAAAAAAAACAACAAAAAAACAAAGCCAGTTTCACCATGAGTTATTTAAAAGGGAAAAAGAAAAAAGAAAACAACCACCTTGCTCCATTTCTTCTCTAAAAGATTTGCTTAAACAGTATTAAATCTTCCTCAAACTACTAAGAAACAGTTTTCCTATTCCCCCTTGTTATACTCTCAACACAAACATCACCTACACAGCAATTTCAAACAGTGGAGCACACCAGTTTCTCATCTTAACATTAAAGGGCTGCGCACTTTTTATAAAAAAAAAAAAAGCAAAGGGAGGAACATAACAGAAGATGCAGACATATAAAGTAACAAAGAATAGATAATGTCATTGTTATTTGGGTCCCTATCTAGCTCACAAAACATAAAACAATGCATACTTTTAATGACAGAATTGGTAGTAAATATATCAGTAGCATCATCTGTCGCTGGTATATTATAGTAAACCAAACTGTTTTAATTTGAAATGGCAAAAAAAAATTAAGACATGAGTTATTAAGTTATATTTTCTGGAACTTGCCAAATACCACTTAGAATAATTCAGTGCAGCTATTTTAATTTTTTTCTAACTCAAGCATTCTCTATGTTGGCAGTAGCTAAAGAGCATGAAGAACACTCCAAATGAGGAACAAAATAGTAGAAGCAATCATATGCAGAGTTTGACAGATGCACAAAATAAACCAAAGAATAAGCCTCCTTTCTCTTCTCCAGATCAACTCCCTTTATAACAATAGTAAAAAACTTTTGGCAGAAAGGCACAGCCTAATTTTCTATTTTTAATAACTATAATGTCGATGAATTGAAGAATGTCATCTCAATTACATCATCAAATTAAATGACAAAATTCACCTCTAAATTATTTGTGAATCTTAATTTCAGATGGCATTTTGGTTTTCTATTCTCTCAATATCGGATTTCTCATTGACGTTACATTTACATGAGTTATAGACCTACCTGGGAAAGTTAAATTCTTGATAAAGAAGCCTCTCATTACTACAGATCTTTACTACATAGTAAAAAGTTCAATTTTTATAGAATCAAGCACCTACATTTTTCACAAGTAATTAAACTGTAGCACATCCTCCACATGAAAAACACTTCAAGCATACATTACATATAATAGAGACCCCAAGAATATTCTCTGCCAGCATTAGCTACACTTACATACAGTAGCAGAATTTAACAAAGGCCTTAAGCATGTGGTATTTTTATCTCAGGGTTACCACATTGTGTGTCTGATAGACCACAGAGAAAATTCTGAAATTAAAGGTCTATACATAGTGGAAAAAAACCCACATACCTAGTTAGTGCATTTGACCAAATCTGGTAATTGTTAGCTTAAGTCATAACCCACTGACTTGCCTGTATTCAAAAATCATCAAGCACCATGGGGAATAAGAGGAATCAAATTAAAATTTTCTAATCACTACTTCATTTTGTTAGGATTAGTAAGAATTTTTAAATAGAATTCAGTGAAATTAGATATTGCACAGAAAAATAAGGAAATTATTAAAACATAGCTTGTGCTTACATACAGGAAAAGTTTTTAATCTCATTTTCAACTATATTAATTTGAAGCATCTGCTACTAAATAACACAATTAAATTGAAACAAAAATAAAGAAGGGCTCTTTCTGAAAATACAACCTAGCAGTGATGACAAATAAACAAAATTATTTATTTAATCACAAAACTCTTCCATTTAAATAACACAGCATAGTATGAATTAAGTATAGCAATTAAATTAAGACCTTGCAAAGACCCCAACCTGAGAGCTATGTGAATTACGTGATAAAAAACACAGCTGCATCTTCCATTTCATTTCCCCCTCTATTTTAAAGAGAAAGGATGTGACCTTCCTCTAAAACATACCTCTTTCAGAAACTCTTCAAACTGCTCATCTAATTCTTCTTTAGAAAGTTGATGAGCCATAATCTGCACCTGGATGTTACCTTCCAAACAACAGAGTTTAAAACCTAAGATTTAAAATAAAATTAATTATAAGCATCTGAAATTAGAGGCAACCCAGTGTTTTCCTGTTTTCATAGACAGCTTTAAGCAAAAAATAATTCTCGAGACTGATGACAGATTTCATTCCTCCCACCCCTAATCTAAATTATTTACTTAACAAAACAATCAATGCAAACATACCTGGATCACCTAAAATTCCTTATAATCAAAACACTCATTTCCAAAATAACAGCTTCAGCAATTAAAATCTGGGTGATGGATAAAATATGATTTTCTTCAACATCGCTACATTTCAAAAGACAGCTCTCTTAGCTATCCACAATTAAGCATTTTGGTAATGAACAAGAATCCACTGCAGTAATACTTCCCATCTATTTTAAGGCCTTTGAATTCCTTTTTATGTTTTTTCTCCAAAACTGGAGACATCTGGCATTTTAAATATTGGTTGATTGTCCCCACTGTGCCTAGAACTCAGTAAACAATAAATACATGAAAGTGTTTAAAGATTATAGGATGACATTTGGTTTGACATGCCCTGACACGGAAGGCCAGTGGCACTTGTCCCCCTCCCATTCCCTGAAATTTCTATTGACTTCTCAGGTATAACACATACTCCACACTCAAAACTCTACCAAGTTTTTGTATATCAAGCTGCTCAACATATATGGCTACATTCAAAACTGCATATGTATAACATTAAACTATCCTAGCCTCTTCCAGGCTGAGAAGTGCTATGTAAACATAAAAGGGCTAAACACTTGCAGAAATGCTTTTACCATTAAAAAAAACCTTCTCTCAGTATGGAGCCCTCTCAGTATACGGGACTGTTACCCACCTAGTGAATTGATTTTGATAGGTGAGCTGCGACAAGTGCTTCCTGCTTTCACTCCTTATTCATCCATAGACCACCCGATACTTTACCTTCAGCAGGTAAAAACCAAAAAAGTTATAGCAGACTGCCTATGAATTCAGTAAGCTATCCTTGTAACATACACTTATTGAGTAAGATACCCTTACATCCACTTGGCAGTACCACTGAAAACATGGTGAGATTGTTACCTCTCACGACACAATCCAGTATCCTTTTACACGTTCGTTTACAAGGAACGCTAGATGCTAAACACTAGATGTCTTACTAGCTGTGATAACTATTTCAGCAAATGCAGAATACTTAATGTCAGCCTTACGAGAAAAACGTTCTTCTCACATTATCTGTACTTCTATCTACCCTGTAATTACATCTTTCACAAAATCTAACAATATGAAACTTTATTTTTCCAAGGGACAAATAATATGTCCGCCAATCTCCGTAACAGAAGATTATCGACAAACATCACCATTAGCAAACACACACTACGGCCATACCTTGAGAACTGGAGGCTCACAAATGACTTTGTAGGTAAAACAAAGAAGTCACCTACTGAGGTATATGCTATAACACAGTGCAGAAAGCAGAAGGTTTTGTAAGATATGACTAAATCGCAGGGACGAAGGAAAGCTTATACAGCCTAACATATTTCCCATAATCTTTTAATCACCCCAGCGTCAGGACCAGCCATGACCCGATCCTCCTCCTTCTCCAGCTTCCCTTAAAGCACCCGCAGAGCAGGCGTAGGCCGGGCAGCACCCCTGGCACTGACGGGCTCGTCCCAACCCCAGCCCCGTTCTCTGGGCCCAGCGAGTGCTGCCGAGTGACTGCGACAACCCCGGCAGGGCGGGAGCTCGGAGACGTGCAGCCGGGACGGAAGGGGACGGGAGAAGAGAAGCCACTAACGGAGCACCGCCAGGCAGAGCTCGGCTCCGCGGACCGCAGGAACACGCCGCAGAGCGGCAGGGGACGCAGTGGCTCAGAGACGAGCGCAGCTCTGCCCCGGGGGCCAGCAGCATACCTGGGCCACGCCACGGCCATGGCAGCCTCCTTCGCTGGCAGCACGGCGCGGTTACTTAGGAAACCTTCGCGGCCACCGTACCGCCCGCCAAACCACACTGCAACGGGGCAGGGAGGACACAACACGTGATCCCGACCAATCCGCCGGCTTCCTTCTCTCCTCGGCCCTCCCGCCACGACGCGCATGGCGCGACACGTGACAGCACGGCACGGTGCCCGGCGGCCATTACTACCGTGGCAAAGGTCGGCTCGGCACAGCACGGTCCGACCCGACCCGGCCCGCGCGGCTGAAGCGGAAGTCACCGCGCGGTGATGTGTGGCACCGGCGCCATCTGCTGGGCAGCGGCGGGCGGCGCCAGCGGATACCGGCACCGGGGAGAGCGTCTGGGCAGCGCGCCGCCGCTCACTGCTTCTACCATGAGAGGTCACGCCAGGATAACGCAGCAGCACCCGGCCCGCCGTGGCGTGCCCACGCACCTGCCTCCGCCGGGACGGGATCGGGACTGCCTGCCCCGGGCTGCTGGCGGCGGGAGCAGGGAGATGCTGGAAGCGGCAGTGGTCATTCCCTCGCTGTCGGTTCTGAGCTTGCCGCTCGCGTTGTCTCTGTGTTAGACTGCGGGTGGAGCGGCGGAATTAAAACTAAATAAGCGGAGACCTTATTGCAGCCTTCCAGTACCTGAAGGGATCTGCAAGAAAGCTGGAGAGGAACTTTTTGCAAGGGCGTATAGTGACAGGACAAGGGGGAATGGCTTTGAACTGATAGAGGGTAGGTTTAGATTGGATATTAGGAAGAAACTCATTACTGTGAAGGTGCTGAGGCGCTGGCACAGGTTGCCCAAACCAGCCTATGATTCTCTCATAAGTGTGTTTCCTTGTCTGGTGGCAATGCCAGGTCCACACAGAGGACAAGCCTTGTTTCTTTCCTGAAGCCTGTGGGGCAAACACTGTGGCCACCTGCAGCCAAAATCTCTGCCTCAAGTTTCTGAGGGATGTGCTTCTCCAGGAGTTGGTCAGCTGTCTTTTGGAAAAGCAATATGTGAAGCGTTAAAAGGGCGTTGCTTTCGCTACTACAGAGGTCAAAAGCCAAACCATTCCTTCTCGCTTTTACAAAGAAATCCCCTACTAAAGCTTTTTCTAATGTTTCAGCCTTAGATGTCAGCTGCTGTGCTTTTAATGCATTTTAGCACATCTCTGGAAATGTTTAAAATACACAGAGAAATTAATGACCCCTGTTTCCCTGACCACTGTCTCTCAAATAACCACAGAACAATTGCAGTCTGTGCTTGCATGTGCTCCCCAGCTAGGGTCTGTCAGTTGTGTTTGTTGTGAGAGTCACGTTGCTTTAGGAATTTTTACACCAGCATTTAGTAAATGGCAAAACAAGCTCACTTAAGAATACAAATGAACATTGTTCGCACGCACACACACACATATTTTGGTTCTCTGTTGAGCAGACTTGGAATGAAAAGATTTTGAAAGGAAGTTTTCTTCAGCGGGTGTTGGATACTTGGTGCAAGTGAGAGGCTAGTTAAAATCTTATTACTGTCTCTCATTTCCTGTTAGCTTGAGAAATAAAGACTGTGCTTCCAATATGGCCTTTATGTATCCCAGATTTTTTTTTAATGCAAGTATAAATTATAGTTTAATTCAAAGAAGCAGAGAAATACAGGCTATTTTCCACTGAAGTCTGTAGAAATGACTAAAGGTGCTGAAGCACTTCCTTCAATCAGGCCTTTTGTCTGCAGATGGAGTATTGTATTTCCATTTGCAAGGTATGGGTCATTTATTTCATCTTTGTGTGCAACTTATGCTGCTGTCTGTGGGAAACGTGGGAGCTGATCAAGGACAGGATGCCCACAGAAACTCATATTCTAGAGCTATTTGTTACGCGTGACAGCCTGTTGCTGGTGAAAACATCAGTTTCCAGCATTTGCTCTCTTCTCTGGTCTCATGAAAAAGCATGGAGTGAGGCGTGAGCATTTAAAGAGAAATATGGAAATTAATTAAGGAATGTCAGTCTGATGCTGCATGCCTTGATCCTGCTCAGATTTAAGCCAATGCAAATTTTGCCGTTAACTTCAAAGTAATAGCTGTGACATCACTCATTGATCATGAGAGTTACTTCATATATAATCAAATAATCACATCAAGGGCTCAGTCCTTCAAGCTGCTGAAAAACTGTTGCACATTGAAGCCTCTCTGTTTGCAGAAATAGGTTCAAAGAGGCTTGTACAAAGTATAGAAAAATGTGCAGAGGGATCAATGCTGTTGGAAACCTCAGTGCCCATATGGGAAGGAAAGAAACCACCAAACCACTCTTGATGACTGTGGTGGAGAGGAGGCATTGCTTGGTGTTGAAATGTCATCCAGTGCATTCAAATAACATGCACAATAGCCACTTAAAAGATTTTCATTTCCTTCTAATGCCAACCAGCTCTTAGCAGTGGAGCTTAGAAAACAGAGCGCAGGGCTAGCCGTGGATTTCAGCCAGGAATGTGGCAATTTGGGTGGCAATGTGATTAAAGCAGAAGGGTGATCACAGATTCTGAAATAGGTCCTGCTGGACACAGCCCCAGGTTCTAAGGTAAAATTCTGGCTCTGCTGACATGGATGGGAAGCTTTTGTTGACTCCTGTGAAAACTGATTTTTTTCCCGCTGTAGCGATTGGCTTGTCATTTAAATGTATGGCATATGTACACTTAGCACATTTTTTTTATTATTGCTAAAATATAAGGCTTTGCATATTAGTGGAATAATTTCAAACAGTTAATAAAATTTAAAGGCATAAAATATCCATACTTCTGTTTTGTTGTCTAACAGAGTCATATCATCCGTAAATGTCAGTGGGGAAAAAGACATCAAATAAAAAAGCAGCAAAACGTCTGCCACATCCACTTCGGCTGAGGCATCGAGTTGGATAGTATTTCAGTACTGAACTTGAAAATATGTGAAATATGAGATTATGATAATAAATATTTAGCCATATTCTTGATTATGTTTTTTAGAGGTTAACAGTTTCATACTGAATGAAAAGCAAACAAACAGTGGTGAATTAAGAAGCTAAAACTGCATTTTCTGTGCATGCCCACTGTGATATGCTTCCTTATATGACTATGCAATAAAAACCCTTTCCAGTATACGCATCAAAAAAGAAAAGCCTGCTGTAAAATTACAAGTTTCACAGAAAATGGAAAAATTATGTGGAACTGTATTTTGTGCAAGAGATAATGATAGTCTGGCATTATTAAGTTATGATTAGTTATAAAATAGTTCACCTAACTGTAATTTCATTTTAAAGGAACATTTTAAATACTGTCACTTTTGTTTCACTGCAGGTCTTATTTTGTTCCACTGCTGATTAGCCATAGTCCTCAGATCCTGAGGGCCAGATTTCTGATAGACTGAGTTACAGTAGCTAATTTGAACTGAGTTTAACATCTCACCTGCCAGGTTTTTTCATCATGCAGCTTCTCCATGGGCTGAGAACTAAATTCTGTGTTGTGTTTCTAATTATTCCAGAGGCTTAGACCAGTCCCTAATCTTATTTCTGCTTCAAGCTTGGATCCCTTGAATGGCTGTAAGTTTAGAAGTTTAGAAGCTGGGCTGTCTCTTTGGTGGCCAGTTCCCAGCTTCTGGAAGTTAGCAGACATGCACTGTGTCTCAGACTTTTTAAAAACAGATCCTCCCTTTGGCTAATTTGTGTGAATGCATAATTGCCTTTACATTGTGCCCTGTGCTTCCAGCTTTTCAGTTCCTCTTGAAGAAGGGGAGGACAAAATTGCTGTAAGTACTGGCTGCAGGAATAAACCCTTCCCCATCATAGAGAAAACTGCTATTGCCAGCAAATGGAAGTAGTTAAAAGTTCCTTCAAGAGCATGAATGTTTGCAATCAATAATTATAGCTGCTTCTCACTCTCTCAACTTGAAAGAAGTGCATTTGCCGACACTTTACACTGCTTTTTCTTCCATTTATCCATTCCCTGTAAACATTGCTTTACTGACCAATGCAACCAGTGCAGCAAGATCCCTGTTGTTACAAGCTTTAACTTTTGACGAATCCTGAGAAAATTGTTGTTCGAAGATAGATGTGTCTGGTTTGACCAACTGTAGCCCATTTAAACTCACCAAATGTTTCTGTCCTATGCTGCCTGCAGGTCATTTGCCAGCGAAAATTCTCAGTACTTGGCATCAGGTGACACACCTATGACTCCTGCTCTGCAATGGGGACTGGAGGCAGAACTTGGATTGCTTTCACCCCCGAATGGTTTGAACTGCAAACCCTCATCTAAATTAATAAGGAGAATGAATATTCTCCTTTGTATATAGACAGTTTTACAATAAATTTTAATCTTTGCATGAAGACACACTGCATATCTTTGCTTCAGAAAAAAAGGTAAATATTGTTATAAAAAATTCTTAGCAGATTAGGAAAGATTAAACTCAGAACACTCAGCAAAGAAAAATTAAGTGTTCTGATTTATTCAGATTTTTCAGATCTGTAAAATCTCTTGTTAATCCTGACAACATATCTGCTTAACACTGGCAAGAATATTAGCTTTGCATTTTGGATTTTCACTTGGTTATTTTTAGTTCTTCTGAAGCCTGGGAAATAAGAAATACAAGTGCTTTGAACAGTCTGAAAGAGCCAACTCTAGCAGGGCCTCTGAATCTGATTAGATAAAACAACAAAGAGGTTCTGTTAGGGC